CTTTTTTTTTTTTTTTTTTTTTTTTTTTCCGCTCTCGTGTCCCCAAGATGCTCGTCGACGAGACTTTGCTGTAATAGCGATGCGTATGGACCTCGGCACTTTGCAAACATTCTCGAGTCCATCAACCAACCTATTCAACGCATCGCTTTTCCTGCGCATCACAAAGGGTCACAGCACCAGAAATTCCCGTCTTTTGGCTGCCATCGACGTTGCAGTGCGTCTCCTAGTAAATTTTTGTGCTCGCAAGTCGCACGGAATGAATATTAAAAGGCCTATGCAAATTCGATGGAAGCCTCTCCGAGCGCACTGCTAACTTCAGCGGATCCAACTTCGCCTCCTGATAGCTGCTGCTGCTGCTGCTGCTGCTGCTGCTGTTCCTTGCCTTGTCCCAACAAAGGAGCTCTATTCAAACTTCCCTTTTCGCTCTCTTCCATCTGTCCAACTTTTCTTCCCTGGCTGATCCAATCTCCCCTAACGCCATCGTTCGGCGGTCTCTTTACCCTCACTCCAAACCTCTTTGCCCTCACGTTCCAATCGCCAAAAAAGTTTCGATGGAGCGTGGTAGAGACATTGTTGGATTTGCACGAGACGATGCTGTGCAGGATGATGCTGGGTGCGTGGAAAATGTACTTGAGATGCACGCTGCCGGATAAAGAGTCGGCTCGTACGTCGATTGATCTTGATCCGATGGCTGATGAGGAGGAGGAGGAGGAGGTGCGGGGCGCTAAAGGATCCAGTACCGATACTCGACTATCGATGTTGCCAGTCGTCGAGCGAAGTAACAGCGTACCATTCTGCCAACGATTAAGACAAAAGTAAGAAGCAGAATGATGAGTCCCCCCCAGAAGAAAAGGTGGCTATCTTAAAGAAATGCCCTTCTTTCCCGCCCCTTGCCCTCGCCGAACTCACAGTGGCCCAAACACCTTCTCCCTCTATGCGTCCATTGCGCGAAGTACCTCTAAGTTGCGGTCCCTGCACCGCCGATCCCTTTTCCAGCACTACCGCTCCATTCCAAGTGTCCAACACTGCCGATTTCCAAACCTTTATAGAGGCAGATTCTTCCTTTGCCTTTTCTCCTCTTCTCCTCCTTCTAGGGCGCGTCGACGAAGAAGCACTCCAACCGGCTTTCCTGCCCAGTCGAACGATGCCGTTGTCCGAGTGCAGCTCTACAGCCGGTGCGATGAGAGGTCCCTCGACTGCAATGTTGCCCGACGTAGCTCGTGCATGTACATGAGAGATTGCGAGCGCTCCGCCGCTCCCGATGCGCACACTCCCATCTCCCGAAGAGAGCTGCAATCTGCCGTAATAAATTCCTTCTGTATCCACCGCCTTGAACCACTCTTCTTGCGCTGGTTTATCCGACTCGCTTCCCGTAGATGCAGACTCTGCGCGGGAATTGGCATCGTACTCCAGCTCGTCCAGGTGCATGAAATCGATATCCATCGCTGCAGCTTCCAGCTTGAGGGCCGGCAAGGCGCTCGGACCACTCGGAAGGGTTACGCGAATCTCAAACGAGAGGGGCGGCGGGAATTTGTTGCGCAATTGATGTGTCAAGGGGAGTGACTGCGACGTGCAAGTTTGAAGAAAGCAAAAGAGAAAAGTGAAGAAGAGTAGGCATAAGGTTAAAGGAGACAAATCTTGCCCACGCCTCAGCCCTCGTATGCGCATAAAGTCGCATTGCACAACTCACATAGATGCCTACTCCTTGACCCCAAACGCCCGCCAACATTTTACCCACAGACACGCCTCTGAGCAAACCTGGACTTCCTCTCTCATACCTAGCTTCCACACGAACCCCAATCAAAGGTGTACCATCCTCATGCCTGATCTCCTCCCTTGCGTCCCTCGCTCTCCTAACCAAGATCCTTCCCGGCACCCTGCCTCTCCCATCGCTCATGCCCGACAATCGCAGTGGATCGGCATAGACAAAGTTGGATGCTGTGCCTGCAAAGGAATCGGGTATGCTCAGGTTGAAAGATGCGCTGGTTCGACAGTAGGGCGGATATCCACGATAGGTGAATAGTGCGCAATGAGGCTCGGACCATTCCGCTGGCAAGACTATATGACCGTCGCCCGAGATGGGACCTGGAGCTGTTGGCGCTTGTTTGAGATCCTGGTTGCAAAAAGGAAAAAGGGTGTGCAAATAGTTAAACGAAAAGGAGGCTCAGCATGCTCAATGTGCTCGCTGTGAGGCACTCTTGCTAGCAACACCCAGGGAGAAAAAAGTGACAAACAAAGTCATGACTCACATCTGCCACTCTCACATCTCCAACGCCTTTCCACCACTCTGCTCGATGTCGATCCCTATCACCTCTGGACTGATCCCAATCCCTGACCTCAAACACCGGTCCAGAAAAGACTACGAGTATCCACATTCCAGCAAGCGCTAATCCTGCTTGTCCCAGCCTGCTGCTGGGCCAGAGTCTGCATATGAAAGAGTACAGCTTGAGCGCTGCAGCTCTGCTTCCTTGCAGTACAGGCTGCAAAAGGTAGGTGGGAGGACGCAGGTCGAGATCGGATATGCAATTTCTGAACCTTTGAGAGGTGGAATTCCTCCATCGTCCATTGTTATCAGTGTTGTCCATTCCTCCTCCTCCTCCGCCAGCACCTACACTTGCGAATGCTGAGCTTTCTCCCAGCATTCCCAGTGCCTGTTCGTACGTAGGAGGTGCAGAGCGAGGCGGATACTTGTTGCCCTGCTCCTGCTCCTCCGCTTCGTCCGAATCGTACGCATCCTCATCTCCTCTCATGGGCTGCGTATCCTCATCCAATGCGAATTGTCCTTCGCTGCGGACGCTGAGCAAAGGCACTGCATCTGCATCTTCTTCTTCCATCCTTGAACGGCTAGAGTTGGACCGGTGTGTGCGGGCGGAGCGTGACATTGCGCGGTATGGCGTGGTGTGGTGTGGTGTGGTGTGGTGTGGTGTGGTGTGGTGCGGTGCGATGGCGACGAACTGATATGCGTTACTGTGTTGTGTTGTGTTGTGCTGTGCTGTGCTGATTATGACGATGAGGCAAAGCGATGCGTATGGAGCGTGCAAGTGGATGCGCCAAAAAGGCTAAAGAGGGTAACGTGGCAAAGACTTGCAGCAAGCGCTGTATGCGATGTGCTCTGAGCCTGCTCGATAAAGTGGAGCAGAAGCAACAAGCAACAAGGCTTCGATTTATCAATCCATCCGCTTCTGATCTGATCTGATCGGATCTCCCTCTCCTCTTCTTTTCAAAGTCCTTGTCTCTGAGTCACGAAAGCACGAGAGCACGAGTGCAGTGCAAGTCGCGAGTGATGATGGATGCGATGGGGAGCACATACTCGGACTGCAAATCTTTGACTTGCACCTCACCTGTCCTTGCTTTGGTGTCCCCCGCCCCGCCATCCATGCTTTGCGTGCTGCTACTGCATGCAGGCACGCGATTCGTGTTTCAAGGGGCTGTGCGTGCGTGCGTGTGTGTGTGTGTGATGTGCATACACACCACGCACGCGGCACATCCTCGGCCAAGCATTCAGTGATTCGCCGAGCATATGCGCGGCAATTCAACGCGTCCCACTCTGACTGACTCTTCATGAGCAACGTAAGATGATGGTTAGGCTCTCATATCAAACCCTTCGAACCGAGTCGAATGACAAGCTCTTGCGTTCCCAGTCACCGAATACAAACTTGTTGTCATAGCGGGCCACAATACACGATCTGCGTACCAAACCGAGGCCGTCGGAACGACTTGACGCACAGTGCGGGGGGCAAGACTGTTTGAGAAGCTCAGTGCAGGTGGGACACAGGCAGACGAGGCGAGGCGAGGCGATGAACTCAGAATGAGACCCGCATCAGCTGCGTGTGCATCAGTATTCCGCAAACCTCCTCCCAAATCTCTCATTTCCTTGGCCAAGCGCGTGACAGGGTCAGGTAGGTAGGTACACGCAAATCCGGCAAAAAAAAAAAGGTTGGCCAATCGGCCCTTTGCACGTGAAGCAGCGTGTCTGTGCTTGACACAACCGAGCGGGCATCAAGTAGCCTGAATGGCCGATGGCTCGATCGACGGAAATCCTAGTAGCATCATGACCATCCCTTACTCCTCGTCGCTTTGCACACCGGGTCTTCTAAAAGCCACATCAGCTCCTTCAACCGGCCTAGCAATCCTTCTCTTTTTCTTTTCCCTTTCTCCTTCTCCTTCTTCTTCCACTTTCTGAGCATCCTCCCGCTCAGCAGTCCCCTCTGCATCTGCATCTGCATCTAAAGCTTCACCAATCTGGCTAGTCGATTTGCAAGGCCCGCCTTCCAAGGCTGTTGCAGCTGCGGCGGCAGCAGCAGCGGCGGCTGCACGAGCCTTTTTCTTGTCACGCTTCGCTCGATTCTTGCTCGTTTTGGCTTCCGATTCAGCTTCGAGAGCTGCTTGTTGAGCTTCGAAAGCGGCTGCTTCTTTGGACTGCATGAGGGGTGGATGAGCAGTGTCAGCCTCATCATTGGGGAAAAAAAAAAAACAAAGGAAGCTTGAACAAGCGCAGGTGGGATGTATGCGCGGGATCTGTCCTTTGTGTGCAAGTAGTCATGCCCCCAGCTGGCATGGTCTGACAATGATGACTCGACTGTCTCTCATCTCAGCCACCGCTTCTCTTCACGCCCGCATTCCACGAAGCTCACCTTTGCTTCTTTCTCTTCCATCAATCTGACTCTCTCATACTCTCTCCTTCTAGCATGCTTATAAACATGAAACTCTCCACTCCCAGCACCCGCGCTGCTTCCCGACACATTTTTCATCATCTCCCTCGGAGGTCTCAATTCCTTTTCCTTTGCTGGTTTGGGAATGTGCACTGGACGGTCCGGATCCTTCAAAAGCTTTTCAAGATGTGCAGCTTGTTTTTCAGACGCGCTTTGAGGTCGAATGCGTCCTGTCACGGGCGCAGAGGAGGCGTTTGCCCCGTGGATGGGCGCGGGCGATGGCGCCATTACGATCAGTGGGGCAGATAGGTGCTGGGATACACGGATGTGCTGTCCTATTGCGCGCAACGAGCTGGAAATCGGTGTGGCGACTTGAAGAAAAAACCGATCTCGTCCCCCCTTTCAGCCTTCCTTTTTCCACTTGGGACCGACGCGAGCGTGTCTGTTGAGGTCGGGGCTGTCCAGGTCGAGTTGACTTGCGCTGAGGGGTGATGAGCTTTGTAACTTGATCTCTGGCTGCTGGTGATGGAGAATGTTCAAATGCTCCAAAGCTATGCGAGAGGTGTCGACTGTCGACCGTGCTTGTGACTCGATCATAGATCACTCTTGTCTCACGCCTGTGGAGGCTGCCTCAAGATGATCGTCGTGTCCTGCCCTGCAACCTAGCAGTCACAGCGTGCGTGTATGCTCACTCGGCTGGCTGTACGCCGCCGCATCCGCACTCGATCGTGATTTTACATTCGTGATTCGAATCATCTCTCGTACGAGCAATTGATGCACCATTTGAAGGTGATGTGGCTGTGCGAGGTTGCGCGGGCGTACCGCACCGCACCGCCCATGTGCAGCAGCTGCTGCTGCTGCATCATGTACCGTACAGTAGGCTGCTGTTCGTGGTGCTGACGAGCCGCTGTGCGGGCACGTCATGCGCGGCGGGCAGAGGTGCCTCAAAAGATGCCACGAACCGCGTAACCGCGTGGAGGCTGTGCTGGTCGATGTGTGATGGGGAGCACGCGGCATGTGGACGTTGGCAGGTCGAGTTCCGGTGGGTATATAAACAAAGCCACCTCTCTGTGAATCTGAACGATCATACACACACACACACATATATATATATAGATATATGTATACCCGCCTACACAAACCTCGCCAAGTACATCGGCTGCCTTCTAATCAGCTCTTTACAGCCCCGCGGAATATCAAGCACCAAGCTCTCTCGCATACAGTCGCTCGCTCAGCCATGTCAGGATACGGAGCACCACCTGCAGGCGGAGGATTCTATCCTCCAGCACAAGGTTCATACCCATCTCAAGGAGCAGCAGCAGGCTATCCGCCTGCAGGTACTTATCCGCCTCAAGGCGCGTATCCCTCTGCTACCCACGGCGGCTATCCCGCACCAGGTGGAGCTCCTTACGGTAATCCCTATGGCCCTCCTGCTCATCCTCCAGCACCTGGACAAGCATACCCGTACGGAGGAGCGGGAAGCGCACCGCCACCACCACCTCAGGCGCCTTACGGTGGAGGATATGCGCCCCCTCCTCCGCAGCACGGACATGGCCATCATCACAGCCACAGCCATGGCCATAGTCATTCGCAGGGACACGCAGCATATGCAGCTCCACCTCAACAGGGCGGTGCATACTACTACAACGGCATTCCAGTCCCTCCGCCTCCTGGTGCTCCGCCCGCGCCCCCTCCTGCTGGCATAGACGGAGCTCAGCTGGCCGAGTCTGTTCGTAAAGCCACCAAAGGCTTCGGCACAGACGAGAAGCTTCTCATTTCCACCATAGCTCCATTGGACGCCTTTCAAGTGGACGCGCTGAGCAAATCTTTCAAGTCCATTAGCGGCAAGGAGATTGTCAAGGTTTTGGAAAAAGAGACGAGCGGATGGTTCGAGTATGCTCTCAGGTTAAAAGTGCTCGGACCATTGGCTGGCGACTGTTGGTTGCTGAATAGAGCGTGCGATGGAGCGGGAACGCACGAGGATCTGCTCAATGAAGTGCTGCTCGCTCGCAGCAATGCGGATATGTGGGCGCTGAAGCAGGCGTACAAGAGTATTTATGGCAAGGACCTCGAAAGAGTGGTGGATGGCGAGCTGAGCGTAAAGACGAAACGCATGTTCTCCATGGGTGAGTTCGCAAACGAGAGGTCGCTCGATCATTCATGTGTGCTCATTTCTTGACTCTTCTTGGCCTCGATGCTCCTATGCAGCTATGAACGGCAATAGGACAGAAGAGAATGTCCCTCCGAACCCGTCCGACATTGCCCGCGACGTCCAGGCTCTGAAATCTGCCGCGCGGGGTATGGGAACGGACGAAATCACGGTGCGTTCCGTTCGCCCTGGCTCCTCGTTCTCAGAAATCTTGTGCGCATCGCTTTTGCTGGCGCTGACGTCTGCGAATTGCTCAAACCGCACAGATTTGTTCCATCCTTGTTGGTAGGTCTCAAGCGCAGCTAGTCGCTATTGCCCGGGAGTATCAACACAAACATGGAGCCCTGTCCAGCATGGTGCGATCAGAGTGTGAGTCGTCTTGGCTAGCGAATGCATGCAAAGGGATATGTAGGATCATCGAAATAGCTGACGTTGCCGTGTGCATATACACTCTTTCCTTGTGCACACAGTCTCGGGGCATATGAGGGACGCGCTGCTCTTTATTGCCGATGGAGCCGAAAGAGGTGGACAAGGAATAGAGAGGGACGCTCAGTTGCTCGAGACCGCCATGGCCGTGAGTGCTGCTCCACTTCTACGAGGTTCCTGTTATACGATGCCTGTGCTCACATCGCTTTCCTCATCTGATTCGGAATGACACGACGCCAATACAGGGCATGGGAACAAAAGATGAACGTCTCACTTATCGTCTGGTGCGTCTTGGCTCCTAGTCGAGTCACTTGGAGTTCTCTTTGCCCAACGACTGACTCGCCTCCCGCCCCGCATCCCTTTTCCTTTTGGTCTTTTGATCATGCAGATTCGATTGCATTGGAACAGGCATCGCTTCAACGAGGTCAAGATGGCCTACGCCGGACTCGTGAACAAGAAAGGTCTTCGATCTAGGGTGGCAGGCGAGACTTCGGGCGACTATGGACGCTTTTTGGAGGCCCTTGTGGGACACTGAGCCGAGGCTGATCTTCAGGCTCGTACACGATGGAACTCAAGTTGCGAATAGCGACCCACTATAAGGATTTTTGAATGATTATGAACAACCTTGAATCATCAATCATGCTCTGACGGCATCGGTGCGCCATGCTTTGGCTTTCGGCACGCTCGTGATGCGTGGCATAGCCGCGTCATGTCGAGTCCCAGTCTCCCACCAAGTTGTGGGACTTGTCTTGCCGAAAATACCACCTGGTCCAAAGACGCTTGTCGACCTTGCAAACCTAGCTACGTCCACCCAGCCCTAGAATAACTTCGAGCCAGCTTCATATCCATCAGCCGCTTGCTTGCCAAGGAGCTCCAAAGAGACACATGAACCAAAGCGCCCTCTCACCTACTTTACCTTTGCTTTGTACTTCTTTGCGCATTGTCCTCCTTTCCCTTTCCCACACACACCTCTGACATCTGCCCCCCTCCTTTTCCCCTGATACAGTCTGCTTGCCCCTGTCAGAGTCATGCATCGTTGAGGACACTCGAATTCCCAAGTACCGATCCGATTCACTTTCACATTGTCACAATTTCCAGCGTCTGCGGATGATCATGACACGGCCAGCTGGCAGATCAGGCAGGCAGGCAAATGCGTTGGATGAGGCATGGTCAAGCCTTGATCACACTTTAGCCCCTTACCCTCACATTATCAAACGAGTAGCTGCACGAGTGGCGCCTGACAATGTCTGAACTCATCGACTTGCATCCCTCCGAGCGCAGGGTAATATCATGAATGCCTGAAGGAAACTCGCTTCGTGCGTGGTCGTGTGTGCGGTGCATGTAAAGTGTATGCAGACATGTGAGGAGCGGGGTTGCAAAAATTTCCCATGCAAAATATAGAATGCCATGCAACGCTCAGAGGGCCGTGCCGCGTTCCACTGAAGATGGTCAGAGCGATGAGGGATGGGTTAAAGAGAGAAGTGATCGATCAGCATTCATGCCTACCTCGTGCCAACTTCAAACAATACCGCTTTCGGAGACTCACGATTCTCTCTGATAGTCCTCGTCGACTCGTCGTAGAAGCGCCTGATCTTGTTGTTGAAGTGTTTGTTCTCGTTGTTGATGTAATTGACTTCGGCATCTGGATCTTCTGCTCTCTTTCTGGACCTGTTGGCTTTGAAGGTGCTTTCGACGTTCATGTGAGAAATGACCTTGTCCAGCGCTTCTTCGTTGGGCTTGTGCGTGCCGTAAGAAAGCGACTGCGAAGTTGGGATCTGCACATCTCCTCGACGTGCCATTTGGCTCGAGCCCGAAGCAGTCCTTATCAAAGCCCCTGAGCTCGAACTTGAGGCGGATCCAACGCCCAAATCAGCCTCCTTGGCCTTCCTATACCCGTTCAGATCCGGTTTCATGTCCTTGATCTTCCTATTGTACCCCCTCTCCGCCGTGCTCTGCGCATCCTCATCTCCCTTGTCTCTTCTCACCTCCTTACTTTGCAGTTTTTCGTTCCAGCGCTCCGCATCTTCGATCGAGTAGGCCCAATTCCGCGCTCGTGAGGGATCTTCACCGCGAGAGAGCTGGTCGCGCTCGTCTAAAATACGCTCGGCTTTGAGAAACTTGCGCGAAGAGCTTGTGGCGGAACGAGAAGACTTGTTTCGAGAGGCTTCTTGAGCTACTGCTCGTCTATTGGCTTGCGAAGAATCATTCTGACGTTCCAGTCAAAGTGAGCGTCAGAAAGGTATTGGGGGTGGAAGTGTCCAGCGCGGTAGCACTGCACGGGGGCAGACTCACCATCTTTTTGCGCAGCTCTTTCATCTTCGACATCCGCTCCGCCATGCTCATTTTGCTCATCGACGCTCCATAATCCTGTTGTTCCCCCTGCATGCTCTGCACGACCCCATCACCATCACCATCACCATCACCATCGTAACCATCACTGCCATCTCCATTTGCTTCAGCGTTGGCAGCAGCTTCCCCTTCCGCCTCCGCCTCCGCCTCATCTTGCCCATCACGCTGCCCGACTGTCCTTTCCGCTTCGGTGCTGGCTTTGCTCTCAAGATGCGCCTCCAGTTCTTCTCTAGCGTCCACTCCATCCCCATTCCTGTCCTCTTCTGACGTCGCGGCTCGCGGTGGAACAGGGGCGGAAGCAGTCTGCTCAGCAGCAGCAGCAGCAGCAGCAGCAGCAGCAGCAGCTGCCTTCCTCATCCGAGGCATTTTCTTCCGCTCAAGAAATCAGTCGGCGCCTAGAAATGGCGTCTCACAGATGAGCATGGAGCACAGTGTATCGCTCGACTTGTGCGTGGACGCCAACGGCAGGTGGGCAGTGATGTTTGGTGGCGCGTGAGGCAATGGTTGCGATGCTGATGGACTGCCTGGCTTTACTCTCGATCAGGTCTCGATTTATACGCACAGACGAGTGGGGCGCGATCGACGAGAATGTGTTTTGACACTTTGACTGGAGAACAAGTTGGAGTCATAAGTCGCTATTCACATTCACGATTTGAGAGTGAGGAGTAGTCAGCAATGACGCGCCCCAAAGAGTCGTGAGTTGTGGTATTGCACGCGTGAACATCAAGAGCCAGACAGTTTACTGTACGTATACGCATTTGCGGGTCACGTGATTTCAAAGCTCGAGCAGGAGAAATGGCCGAGTCGTGAGTGTGAGTCCAAATTCACTATTCTGGCCGCTGCATGGACACCGCGGGCAGGCAGGCATGCATGCAGTGAGCAAGCAAGCACTCGCGGCAGAGATGCTCGCACGCACCACCTGCCTCGTAGTCTGCCGCTCTGCCATTCAGAGTCAGATTCACATTCACATTCACATTCGTGACTGATTTGTGATTGACTTTCACATTCAACGTTCAATCTGACACTTTCCCCTGATCACTCAACGAATCTCGGGCGCTCGCTTCTGGCATTCTGATGCGGACCCATCTCCACTCATCCTCCATCACGTCCCATCCTCACGCGCCAAACCAGTTCAGATCTGGCTCGCACGAATATCCAACGCGCGACTGTGCCAACTCAGCTGCTCCGATTGCTCGTGTGCGGCGATCAACATTGGTCTCGCTCTTTGCGCCAACTTCAGCCTTCGATCTGTGCCGGACTAGTGGAGTTGTGCAGATCGGCAACCTTTGCGATCGGCATACTGAGCCGAAGGCTTGAGAGAAGTAGAACAATTCTCTTCGAGGCAAGCTACGATGAGCTCGTCGCACGCTCACGCTGACAAGCACGCAGAGCAAGCGGTAGATGCAGATGTGAGGGCCGCAGGCTCAGGCACAGCATCAGACACCAGCGCGGGCCTTGGAATCTCTATTCCTGATGTTTCCCAAACAGCAAAGGGTGAAATGGACCAAAGCACTACGGAACACTCTGGCGAGCGGAACACTCCGAACGCATCGGCGCCGGATGACGTCTCGCAGAGTGATGCTGCTCAGATTACAGAGGATGCCGCGCAAGATGAATCGCAGCATACAGTCGAGAGTCTTGGACTCAGCACAGCACACGAGAGCAGCACAATCAAACGAGATGGAGGTGATGATGGGGAAGACGTTGCTGCTGCTGAGGTGCCACAGCCAGAAGTCGCGATCTCGCAAGAGGCGACGGATCCGCTTGAACAAGCCTCGAATGCGTCGGACACACGAGAAGCCATTACGCAATCGAATCCTTCTGCTGCGGCCGGAGCGAGCGCCAACACGGCAGGTTTGTCCGAGACGGGGACTGGCGAGCAAGGGGCACACGAATCTTCTCAGGAAGCCGCGAGATCTTCCATGTATGCTGCCAGCAAAGCAAGTCTCGTCGAGGACGTGACAACGGAGACCGCTGGTGTGCAAAGTCAAATTTCGCCGCAGTCGCCCGATGCGCTAGGGAAAGAGGCTTCGCAGCCGAGCACAGAGCGTGTCGCTCACGAGGACACACAAGCTCCAGGATCGCAGGGTGAGACATCGACAAAACCTACAATTTCCGTTCCAGAGCCAAACATCAGCAACACAATAGCGGTGCAGGATCGAAGCGATGAAGTAGTCGCTTTGCATGGAAGGTCTTCCGGGTCTCGCGCTGCAGATGCGGGCACCTCATCAGAGCCTAGACCTCCTTCGATTGGCAAATCTGCTGCAGCACTTTCCCCGCCCTCCTTGACAGCTCCCGCAACACCTCAAATGGCTTCGTCCGCTTCATCGCCCAACACTCCTCGAACGCCCGGCTCGGCGGGAATCAGGGTGGGCAAAGGACCTCCCCCTACTACCCAAGCTTCGGAGGAAAGACCGTTCGATTTCAATAGGTTCCTGGAGCAAATGAGGACGAAGAGTGCCCAGCCTGTGGGCGAGTATGTCAAGAGGTGCGTAGGGCTCGCCCCTGCTCGAGTATGTATGAGCGAAGTTGACTGACTCGTCTCGTCGCTCGCCCTCCTCTCTCTCAAAGTTTCATCAAAGGCTTCTCCAAGAAGCCCTATAGAGTGACAGACCAGCAAAAGCTCATCTTTGATTTCCTCGACTTTATTTCTGGCATCATGAAGCAAGTGGCGCCCTTTTCCACGCTGTCGCAGCACGAGTTCGAGAATGCGATGGAGGCGATGGAGAAGCTGATCATGAACAGGCTGTACAGCTTCACCTTCAGCCCGGCCATTGCGAGAGATGGAAGGTGGAAAGTGCAGACGGACGATTTGGAGAGAGATAGAGTCTTTAGACAAAGGGTCAGGCTCTTTGAGTGGATCAGAGAGGAACACCTCGATGTGCCGCGTGGGGAACATAGCCAGAGCTTTGTGGACTTTGCCAAGCATGGTAAGTGTTCGGCTCTCTGCATCGCCAATCTTGTACTCATAAATCGAGACTGATCGCTTCGTCTTGCATTCACCGCACCACACGTGCAGAACTCCTCAAGATCAACCACTACAAAGCACCGAGAGATAAATTGATCTGCGTGCTGAATAGCTGCAAAGTCATCTTTGGTCTTATTCGACACCTATCCAGCCAAGAGAGCGCCGACACCTTTATCCCTTGCCTCATCTTTGTCGTCCTCAAAGCGAATCCGGATCATCTTATCAGCAATGTGGAGTGAGTCGGGGCTGTTCTTGACGCTTTGGAAGAGCATCTGCGAGCTGAACGGCTGACGAGCCTCGTGAACGTCTTAAAGGTATATTGGGAGATTCAGGAATCCGGACAGATTATCCAGCGAATCGGGATATTATCTATCGAGCTTGGTGCGTTGATGGACAGCCGATCGCTCTGTTCATCCGAAGCTTGCTCACACCATCACCCCCTCTCCTTGTCAGATGGGCGCGATCGCGTTCATCGAGACGATGGATTATACCTCCTTGTCCAATATCAGTCAGGAGGAATTCGAAGCGTAAGTCGCTCGCATCGTGACAAGTGCTGAGCGTGCACCTCTGACTATGGGGAACTCTTTGTCCACCTTGCTACAGCAAGGTCGAGGCAGCGATTCAAGATCTGGCCAAGCTACCTCCGGACACGCCCCCACCGAGCAGCTCCTTTGAACGGCAACCGGCAGCGCATGAAAGTGGTGCGAGCGTCACAGACACGATCAACTTGGGAGGTCCAGTCGGGGCGGCCGAATCCGAGACTGCCAAAGCACTCCCCGCTCCGCCCCTCGCGCTGTCTTTAGCGGACGATACCAAAGCGTTCTTCCAGCGAACGGGCGAAGTGGCACGCGCTGGGCTGGGAGCGAGCTTAGGCAGACCTATGGGTGCGCTCGGCAGACTGCTGAGCGATGGAATCGATGGAGTCCGAACGCCGCAGAGTGGAGCAGCCAGTGGACCAAACAGCGGCAGAGCATCCCCTTTTACACACGCAGGATCCGAAAGCCCCGGCAATCTCAGCACTGAGAGAGCGCAGGCATCTTCGCTTGGTGCTGGCGCAGGACGAAGATTGTTTGCGGGCCTGTTTGGAGGAGAGACAAACGACAGGGAAGAAGGCTCAGCGGGCAACGTGGCAGCGGGAACTTCGACTAGACCTCTTTCTGGATTCGGATCTGCCTCGTGGACGCGCGCTTTCAGGGGTCCTGATGCGGACGAAGAGCCGGGCACGCCCATTCGAGAAGGCCGGGCTGGTGAAGCTTTCGGATTTTCGGGCAGAACGTCGAGCGGCACGGCAAGCGGAGGCAACGTGATTCGAGCTGGGACGGGCGCAGAGGATCTGACGGACGAGAGTATTGCGGGACGATCTGGGCGCGCACATGCACCTGGAGCGCCTACGAGGAGCGGTATGGTGGACTTGATTGGGGCTGCCGAGGGGAGAAGACCGCCTATCCAGAGGCAAGGCAGTGTGGATCCATACTCCATGCCGGATGAAGATCTTGGCGACGGCGTTCGTACCCCTACAGACGATGGGAGCGAGGATGAGCAGCCAGGCATACCGGCAGGCGCTGCGACACGGACCACGAGGGGTACGAGAGGAGGAGACTTTAGGCCCAGCTTTTTGAACGAGAGGGAAGGCGTCAACACGCCCACGAGGAGGAACGTGGGCTTGCCGGATGAGAGGGAAAGAGACGCCGCGGCTTCGCCATCCAATGGGAGAGGTCGACCTGTCCATGAGGGACAGGAGGACATCGATGTGGCTGCGCAGAGCGCTGAGATCAGCAGAGTACATCTGGCTGCTGGCGTCGAGACGGTGGGTGTCGTGATGGATGGGTTCGACTTCGAGAGTGAACATTAGTCTCTGACAATGTCGTGCGCCCGCTTCAACCCCTCCTCGATTCATCTCATCTCAGCTGAAAAGCATCTTCCCGAATGCCGAAACACGCGTTGTGGAAATGGTCCTCGAAGGCTGGTGAGTGTGGCACCGACCTTGGTGACTGCGCATCCTCTGACTGCTTTCTCTACGCACACACCTCCAGCAACGGCGACGTGCAAGCGTCCATCGATCGATTGCTCGAAATGTCCTGAAGCGAGATGACTTTGGACCTGCGCGAATCGGTGCAACTTATCCCGTTCCAGTGTTTTTTTGACACGATCTGTTTTCCTTGTTGCCGGTTCTGCTGCGACATCGCAATCATGATACTATTGCAACATTTGCGATTGCATTGACAGTATCTTCTGGCATGTCCTCGCTGGTGAACGCTCCGACGAAGCGTTGCGCGCACATACCTTGCGCCGTGGTGCAAAACTGCCCAGAGCTCGCTTCGTGATGGGCTGGGGGCGATTTTGCTTGCTTCACTGCTGGTCTTGCGATAGGTGTTGAGAGATGTCGTGTGACAGTCTGGTGCTTTGTTCCGAGGCGGCATTCACGCAATCAAGCTTCTCGTCCGCCGCTACGGATCTCGCGGCTTCGACTCCGTCTTTCTTCCCGTGCAGCTAGCAGCCACGGACAATTGAAAGGTACGGTCCGCCGCTTGTCGCACGGAAAGAGTGTAATGGCGAGATCGCCCGTTCATGAAAGTCAAATCGCGCTAGACTGGCTGGTGAAAGTTTTTTCATCATTCGCGGATTCGAAACCGGTTCCACTACGCGAATGCGCTGATAAGCAACTTCTTACCGTGAGCGTGACTCTTGGTCGTTCCAACAAGGCATGGCCGGACAACGCCCGTGAGGCTCCTGAAGTTGCAAAAGCAGGACCGTGAGTATGTCTGCTTGGAGCGTGACAAAAGATCAATCCTCCGGGATGCGCCAAGCCCAATTGCAAGGCGTCATGCACCAGAAGCAAAGATCCTATGCTCAAAGGTCAAACTTCCAGATGGACGTGTGACCACTGTACTAACCAACCCAAGCACATTATGCACAGGCGGGGTGCAGTACATAAAGGACACGCGCGGTCCCGCGCATACCTCCATTCGTAGTTACCGGTGCACTTGTTATCATGCAACATTTCAAACCTGGGCAAATGGCAGCCATTGTGATTACACTTGTGAGTTCGTGGAGCACGAGCGTCAGCGATAGCACTCTATCTACAGGTGATGCCAGATCCAGCAAGCACCGCATGGTCGAAGACGCCTTGATAGCATCACAAGCTCGCGAATGCCAAGGCTGCTAGCGCGAAATATCTGCAATCCGCAAGGGTGGAAAACGGCGCAACCTCCGCACCAACAGCACTCACGGCTTGCTGGCGCAGCAGCAGCAGTCCAAGCGTCCAAAGGCCTGCTGCTGAAGCATGGTGTGGTGCGCCTCTTCTCTTCTCCTTTCTGTAGTCGAGATGATCTTCAAAGTCGGACGTACAGTACGTGCTTGGCCGGCTGAGCCGTGCGGTTCACAATTTGTAATTGGTGAGCGCCGACGTGACCGCGCTTGGTCTGGTTTGGCAACGGCCCGAGCGACAGGCCACTCACTCGATGTTTTGAAAGTCTGCCTTACGACCCGCATCGAAGCGACCCAACGCAGGATTGTGGCCGCTCGCAGCACGATCAGGGTACGCTCATCTTCAAACACCAATCTGGGTGCATTGCAGTCTAGGACTGATAGAACGGCTGTCATGTGCGCGGATCAGGAGGCGGTCTAGCTCGCTCATCGCGGACCAGGCCATAGGAGAGCTCGCCTTGTTCAGTCTATGCAGAAGGGTCCGTACCTACACTAGCGCGTTCTTGGCTTAATGCCACCTGTAGCTTCTTATCTTGCTCTCTATGATGGATCCAGAGGTCCATCTGCTAAGTCGTTGTATGCAAGAAGATTGGAGTGGGGTCAATGAAGCCATAGATGGCCGTCATGGCGTGGGGTACGGGTTGGGCTGAAGGGACGGACTATAGTCCGGAGGAGAGGCAAGAGTATATAAAGCACCCCTCAAAGTGTCGTCCGACATCCGCTTTGCCTCACCTCTAAGTCATCCTCTCCTCCAATCGCGCTCCTCCCCGCGTTCCTTTCACCACCAAAATGCGTCTCTCCACATTCCTCACCGCGGTCGTGGCTGGTACGGCAGTATCTGTGGCCTTGCCTCAGTCTAGCGACGTTTCATCCGATTCCTCGCGCCTGCTGCCCGGCTTTCCCGGTTTCAACTTCCCCAAGCCTCTCGTCAGCTCCATTGTGCTCAGAAATCTGATCACCCGCCGAGACTTGAGCTCCAAAGCCCAGACTTTGCAGCGCTTTGCTGACGCATCTCCAGGCAGGAACCGTGTGTTCGGAAGTCCCGGACACAATGCTACGGTCAACTGGCTCTATGATGAACTCGTCAAGCTGGACGCTTACGATGGTGAGAATTACTTGACGTGCACGTTGGGCTCTTGCATCACAAGTTGACTGTTCCCTTGGCGCGATTCGTTGTAGTGTATTTGCAACCCTTTACAGAGACCTACGCTGAGAACAGTGCCAAAGTTACGGTCGATGCGGTAGACCAAGGCGCTGGTCCCTTCACATATGCTCCAGGCGGTCAAGTGACCGAGCAGCTCGTGCAGGTTGCCAATGTCGGTTGCGCAGCATCCGACTTTCCCGCAGCAGTCTCGGGCAAGATTGCGCTCATTTCGCGAGGAACCTGCCCTTTCGCTAGCAAAGTCGGGCTTGCAGGTGCCGCGGGTGCCAAAGCAGCTTTGATCTACAACAACGCCGACGGTGCACTTTCCGGCACCCTGGGTGGTACCTCTACGCCCGAGGGCCCTTACGTTCCAGTCGCTTCTCTTGACAAGGCCAGAGGCGATGCCCTTGTTGGCAGACTGGCCGCTGGAGAGACCGTCACGGCCGCTCTCGACATCGTCGGAATCACCGAGGACCGCGAAACCTACAACGTCATTGCTCAAACGCGCACAGGTGACCCCAACGAGGTCTACTTTGTGGGAAGCCACACCGACAGCGTCATTGCAGGACCCGGCATCAACGACAATGGCTCAGGCACCATTTCCCTCCTCACCATCGCCCAGAAGCTCAAGAATTTCAGGACCAACAAGGCGATCCGTTTCGGTTTCTGGTCTGCCGAAGAATTCGGCCTGCTCGGAGCCGAGCACTATGTGAGGACGTTGTCGACTGAAGAGCGCAACAAGATCCGCGTTTGTGAGTTTGCAAAGAGCTCCCTTGCGAATCTGTTTGTCCGGTCCGCCCACTCACCTGAACTTTTTCTCACAGACGGCAACTTTGACATGGTCGCCTCGCCAAACTACGTTTACGGCGTATACGATGGATCTGGAAGAGCTTTCAACATCACAGGACCAGCCGGCTCCACTGAAGGGCAAGACCTGCTGCAGAGTTACTTCCGTTCCCAGCGCCTCAACACTGTTCCTAGCGGATTCGACGGCCGGTGAGTACCTCTCTCCATCGATTTGTGTCTGTCTATCGTTGCTGAACTCCTGATCCGGACATGTCTGATATCACCAGCTCCGACTACGGACCTTTCTTGGAGGCCAACATTGCCTGCCTCGGTCTCTTTACTGGCGCCGAGGAACTCAAGACCGAGGAAGAGGCCAGGCTTTTCGGCGGACAAGCCGGCGTTGCACTTGATGCCAACTACCACGTGAGCTACCATCCATGCCGTCGTATTGCGCTGTGCATCTCAGAATGACACGTGGGACCCACTGACCTTGACTCCTATGCTGCCATTTGCCAACCACAGAAAGCTGGCGACGACATCAACAACCTGAACTACGACGCTTTCCTTGCAAACGCCAAGGCCATCGCCCACACCATCGCCACGTACGGAAGAGGCTTCCAATCCCTGCCGCCCAAGGAACAAGCCGTGCCTCAACCGCAGCTTCGAATTGCGAATGCTCAGCATGCTCACAAGGGCAGCATCAAGAGATGCGGAGAGACTCTGCTCGAGGCATGAACAGCTTTATAAGCTTCATCCCTTTCTGACTTGTCGCTGCATTGCTCAAGGCGGCAAGATGCGCGGACAGGGATCCATGCTTACGTGGAGCCCTACGCAGTGGGCTTACAATGTACGCCGAGTAGTACAACGTACCCGCTCTGCCAAGCATGAAATCATGGGCGATCAAAACAATAGCATAATTCACCTGGTTGGTGCCCGCCTTGTGAGGGTGTTGTGACGGATGCTCAATTGTCGTCCAAGCACTTGTGGTTGATAGCGGAGCTACCTGTCCCATTTGGCTTTCGCCAATGCTGCTTCGCTTGAAATGCATGGATTCCTTATGTATCCCTCCACGCATCCACATCGGCCGAGTGCTTGCTCTGACTATCGCCATGAGGCGCAGACGAAGTGTCCCGCACTGCGTCTTCCGCCTCATCCTCGTCCTCGATGCTGAATAGATCGGCTGTTGATGCAGCTCGCTTGGAAGAAGATGCGCCAGATACTGAGGTCGGATCGTCAGACCAAAAGTTGTGCGCTTGGTCCTGACCAAATCTAACCCTCCTTTCCGAAGAGGCTGGCTCATTGGAACTCTTCTTCAGAGCACCTCTCCTCTCCTCGCCGTTCGAGCCTTGTCGCTGTGAAGAGTCTCTGGCTCGGCTAGATCCGACCGGATTGAGCATGTCTTCGTCCTCGTCCGACTGAGATTCTTCTGAAAAGCTGTCGCCGTACATCTCCACATCCAAAGGCTGGTACAACCTCTCGATTTCTCGTCGGGTACGAAAGCGTCGCTCAAAGTGATACGAGGCGAAAAGCCCCAGAGAAGAACCCAAAAGATTGGCTAGCACTGATGATCGCAAGCGGGATATCAGCATTGACATTCGCGTGATCTGACAGTGAAGGAAATGGATGGGTACTCACCGTCGCCCCACTGAAAGGTCTTGTACTGTACGGATGGTGACATTCAAGTGCGAGGAGGGAAAAAAGGGGCAAGCCAGGTCAGTACACGCTTCGCAGGTGCTGTGATCCGTACTCACGGGAAGCATAGCTTGCACAAACTCGGAGCCGATGCCTCCGGCCAAGAAGCAAGTTACTCCGCTGAGTAAAAGGGGCGCGTTGCGCCAAATCCATCCTCTTCTTGCTTCCTGGAAGGCGGTCAGGCAGACGCAAGGATGAGCATGGTCAGCGGTAGAGAGCTACCTTGATACAGACGAATAGTACAGCAACTCACTTCGTCCACGTCCCAGATCATATAGAACAGAGCTGTAGCTAGGAAGAAGCATATGAAGTGCAGCAGCTTGTCGTTGATCGGGATGTATGCGCCACCTCGTGGATGAAATCTGATGAAAGATGCCGATAATGCATCAGTCTCCACTTTGTGTGACAAGAGCCGGTATCGCTGTGCTGCTAGCGCGGATCAAAGCATTTGCCTTGAAAGGTAGCTAATCCTCCGTTGCCCAAAGTGACCCGTTCTCTCCAGGGCTGCAACGTTAGCAATTGGCAGGCCCCTGCAAAGGTCCTTTGCCCCAAGCCGACAATTCATCGATGACTTTCTGCACCACTCACCCAAGAAAAGCCAGTCCGAGCAAGGCCAAGACGTTCAATACCAGGATAGTCGGTCTGATCCTCAAGGGTAGCTGCCCAGCCTGTAGCGGACTGTCCTCCTCCTCTTCCCCTCTTTGGCCATGTCTCCTTCTTCTGCCTCTCCCATTCCCACTCGAGCTTCTGCCCCTAGAAGGTAAAAGCTTCAACCTCTTGCTTCGAAGTATCAGAGATCGGAGCAACTCCTTGCGCGTATCCCATGAGGAGGAACGAAAGAGCGATTGGAGATCTGTAAGATAGCCTTGAGATGTTGGAGTGGAGCTCGAGAGCGATGGCATGGTGATGCATCAAAAGCGCAGCCGAGGATCGATATTTGTTCGCGTACAGGACTTTTGCAGCTGCCTCTTCACTTTTGCAGCTGCCCCTTCCAATTCAGAGGTTTGCCTTTTTTGTATCTGCGAACACAAATGTATGCCCACGGTTCGATGGTTGCGCGAAGAGGGATCAAGTGGTGCACGTTAGCTGATGGGTGCGGAATTGGGCCTGATCGATGTCTCGCTCAAAGGATAGCCTTGCGATGCTATACGAGGACAAAGTGTGTGAGGTAGGATCGTGTGTGTCGAGTCAAGAGTCTTGAGTCACGAGTGAAGTGGACCGGAAGTGGACCGGATCCCTTCTCGGATTTGTATGGAGAGAGAGCCGCGGGCACATTCGACTGAATCTCGAATCGTGAATCGCGGGGTCTTGATCAGTCACGAGTTCAGCTATAGGAATCAATCGTGAATGCACGCGCTTTCCAGCACGTTTCACATCACATCACGTGACCCTTTGTTGCTCCCGAAGCTCGTCAGTCAAGTCAAGTCCAAAATTGAGTCCAAAGTCAAAAGTTCGTGGGTCAAGAATCTGGTATGAGTTCCGCTTTTGCCTTGCTTGTCTTACATATCCATTCAAGAAATACGACGACGCATCTCTCTGGAGACTCTCAAGCGCAGCCCAACCGGGCTCGAGTGACATTTCGCAATGATCACAGTCACCTGAGCTCGCCTGGTGCAGCGCACGTGAATGTCAGGACGCGATTCGCCAATGCGCACCAAAGCCTCGAGCCTTCGACCTTTGCGTCGCTTTCGACTGTTGGCCAAGGACCACCCACGAGTCACGAGTGCAGCTCTTTTTTGTCAAAAAAGGCGGGGCATATGGCGCATCGCGGATACGCATGTCATTGATATCAGAGTGCAGAATCTGACAGCGTGCGATGCAAAAGCCTAACGCTCGTCGGGCGTCGCTTGGCGAAGCTCGTTCATCGTCCTGCCAGCAAACGCAAGACTGTTCAGTGCGGCGGAGACCTCCTTAATGCGGTATACAATCTTCTCCATCTCCATCGTCTCTGGGGATGAATGACTTCCTTGCCTGGGCTTCCTGCTAGCTTGAAAGTGGTCCATGTCTTGCTGAATGGCCTTCGCACGCCTGCTCGTGCTTTTTGCTCCAGCGTTTAGTGTCTCGACCAATGTGCGGCAGAGCGCCGCCAAACGCTTTCGCTTGGCATCGTTCATGCTCGGATTAATATGCGAGCTCAAAACGGTGAGAATGAAGGCGAAGATGTGGCCGTTCCTGAGATAGGCTTGCAACTCCGCAAGTCTCATCCACAAGGTGATGACTATTGCTCTTCGTCCTTCTTCTCCCGAAGACCAGAATATGTCCTCTGGCTTTTTGGTCGTGCGTCTGAGCGGTCGACTTTGCTTGTCTTCCTCGTCTTCCTCATCTACATCCTCGGTCCAACGATCTTCGAGCGCTCGCAGCTCCTTCCTCAACTTGCCTTTCGCATTTTCGACTTCGTCAATGATCCCGCTAGTGAGATGCAAATCTAGTAGAGGCTCTCCTGGATCTATGTAGAGCAAGCCGTCATGACTGTCAGGTAGTCGTGAGACGAGATCATCGATCATACTCGATTGTGCCCTTTGACTTTGCCTCGCGCTAGCGCTTGGCCAATTTTCCCCTCGTTCGTAGCTTTCACTGTGCAAATGTTGAGCAAAAGCAAGAGCAAGCGGCACCGCCGACTCCTCGGACCGGACGAGGTACTGTGACAAGCAGCAAGGTCACATGATCAGGTCCGGCTGGACGAAGAAATCGTTGCATAAATGCGGGACAGCTCACTTCGTGAATGGATCGGATGCCCCTAATTGACACCATCTCTAAGCGCTGCGCAATGCCTCGAACAAGGGCCGACTTCGAAAGCACTCTGTGGTGGGCGAGATGAAACAGCTAAAGGATCAAAGGGGTCAGCTTGTATGCTATCGGCTAGCGCGGTCCACAGAGCCTCGCGCACCTCGTCCAGCATCCCAACAGCGGTCTCTAGCCGAGCTTCTTCGCTGGTGCCCACTTTTCCGATCTGGCAATCTCCTAGCGGCTCGTCGGCCAGTCCATTCATGACGAAATCCAGCGCATCGCCGACCTCTTCGCATCCCTCGTCAAGGTCCAATCGCAATCGGCCAGAGCGTGACGGGGCTTTTTGCAGCGGGAACTGGCGCGAGAGATGTGAAGCGCTTGCGGCACGGTCGTCATCGCGAGCGCTTGATGAGGATGCAGATAGCGCTTCTGAGCGTTCCAAGCGCCACAAATCCAACATCAGTCGAGCATTCCTCCAGACTGCTTCCATCTTCAGATCACGGGCGTCAGCGTGGCGATCGGTCTTCAGGCGCTTGCTGTCATGCTCTTCTGCCATCTTACATCGAGGCCCAGCCGCCTTGACGACGCTCCAGATGTTGTTCGCGCCTCGCAAATTCTTCGGAGTGGCGAATGCCAACCTTTCCTCTTCCGTCTCTTCATGCATTCCCGTCCTGGCCGGAAAAGCCTTGAGCACTGATGAAGACCCATATCGAATCGCAATCTGTCTCAGCAAAGCAGTAGCTTCAAGCACACTTTCGTCGCTTTGAACGACTGCGGCGTCCAGCTTGAGATTGGCGGAAGTAACAGGCATTCCAGACTTGATCTCTGCTCGTCCTTCTTCCAGACCTCTGAGCGATAGATCCAGCAGATAGGTAATATGTCGCGTGCAAGGTTGCCAAATGGGAGTCTGTAGGGACTTGAGGTAGTGCAGCGCAGCGTCATGCTGCTCCTCCGCTACAGCATCATCGAACAAAGCAGCCGCGTGTTTAGGTAACTCTCTGCTGCTCCAACAAGTCGTGACACCCGCTTGCATGCGCTTCAAACCCCGCTGAGGCTTTTCCTGTGTGCTCTGAGTAAGCTCAGTGAGCGGACTGGAGGCTGGAAGCTTGGAGCTTTGAGCGGCAGAAGATGAAGGCGAAGCGTTCGAGTTGAAAGATTGCAACCGCTTTCGGGCGGGATCTTTGCGCCGAGGAGAGGGGCGAGGAGTTTGCGATAGCTCTTGCTCTTCAGAGGAAAGAGAGCTACTGGATTGCTGTGAGAACATCATCGCTGACAGACCTGCACAAGGCGGTGAGGGTGTCGTGAGGAGGGGGTGGAGAAACGGGACTCACCCTCTCCCTCACTCGTGACTTTTGTTCAGCGCGAGCTGTGCCAACGCGAAGGCTGCAAGACGGCAGCGCGCAACACAAAGCACGCGTTTGCTCACGCGCTCAAGACATTCCGCCCATCAAATTCTACGCCGAGGCGCGCTGCCACGCGTCAAACGCCTCCGTCTGGAGACGGAGCTACGGCATGCTTGCTCAGAGGTCATCACGCCGCCATGTTCATTCACGGGTTGAAGTGCAAGAGGGAAACCTTTGGCCAGACTCAGCTGGGGCAAGTCGCAGTCGATACACATCAATGGACATGTAGATCTCGGCTCAATTACAAGCAGCTGAGCAGTCGCTTTCGAGAACTTTTGCAAAGAGATGAGAAGACGGCGAGCTACGCATGCACCCCACGTAGACTCAGTCGACGCAGTCGCGTAGCGATGTCATTGTACCAAGCATCTGTGCAACAATAGTAGCATGCTAGTCGAGCGCGCCAGACCGCCTTTACTGCTTTGCGAGATCGTTTCTCCCAATTCCCTCGCCTCGGTGTACCGTCAATTTCTTATCCTCGCCACCGCAGACCAACACCTGACCTGACCTGTCCCAATCCACTGTGAGGACCTTTGTCAAATTTTCTTGTCCCGGCGCTGCACTGGAAGAGGTCTTGAGGCTGAACAGCGCGCTCTTGGGACTACGTATGTCCCACAACTTCAGAGCGCCATCGTGAGAGCCTGCGGCAAATAAATGTGAGGATGTAGGATGCGGAGATAAAGTTGAAATCGGCCCAGCGGCCGCGCCAGCGATATTGACGCTAAGCGCAGACAACGAAGCTGAAGGTAGGCGAGCCGACAGAAACGTGTAAGTTCAGACAGAGTGCAGGGCTAGCCAAATCAAGTACGACGCACCACTTCTCGGATCCCATAGCGCTAGGCTTCGATCCATGTGACTCGTCAGCAGAGCTGCCGTGCTACCAGAAGGTGCAAGGTGCGTCATGGACAGGATGGGTCTATCGCATGTCTGCCAGCAAAAGGACAAGTGGACATCGATGAGATTCCACCAAAAGACTGGTCAGAGGGTAGTGTTCGAGCGACTCACCTTCTGTCCCACTGCAGTTCCAATTTCCAGATCCCACTCTCTGACTGACCCGTTCCACCCGGCAGAGTAAGCAAAGCCCTCCCTATTCTTGTCGAAAGCTACTCCACCGACGCGCGCATTGGAGCTCGGCATAGCCGAGGGGGCGCTGGATGCAATTGCAGGCGGTAAATTGCCAGGCGGAGCGGGGTTCGGCGCGGCGTGCCACAACGTAGCTTTGGACTTCAAAATCTTGCCAGTGTGCTCCACGTTCTCTCCAGCAGCTATAGATCCCTTCTCAGCTTTGCGCCTCTTCTTGGACTGAAGCTCGATGGAAGTGCTTGGCGCATCGACGAGAGAAGTCGAATCCCAAAACGACACGCTGCCGTCCCACGCGCCCGTCAAGGCCTTCCAGCCCGCCACGTCCTGTGAGGGCGCCACATTCAGGCAGGAGATAGGTGACTGACCCAAAGAGCTCGAAGTGACACCACTAGCGATCAGCTGAGTTGATGAAGCTTGTCCCTCAACAACCTCGGTACTTGATGGCAGAGAAGTATCCAAGAGATGCACTTTGCCGTCCATGCCGCTCGCCAAGATTTGAGCGCTAGACGAGGCAGGGTGGGAGACGACGAAGCGGGCTCCTGTCAACCCAAGACCGGCAACACCAGAGGGTATCCTATGATTCATCAGTGCCGAGATGCCACTTTCACCAAAGAGGCGCAACGTTCCGTCGTACGAGCTTGTCAGAAAGAACCTAGGATGCGTTGAGGTGGGAGAGTCTGAGCTGTATGCTCGATGAAGCCGCATGTCCATCTCCAGGATCGCCAGGTCACGTCACGTCACGTCACGTCACGTCACGTCACTCACCCGTCCCGACTCGCATCGACACAAGAAATCCAATCATCCTGCTCAAATGCAGCTGTAAAGCGCGGTGGCAGTGTGCTACGGATGTACTCCAGCTCGAGCGTCTCCTCCTCTGTCCTACCATTCGCATCCAGCCAGTCCTGCACGCTGCTCCTCAGAATCTCGCCTGTAGATCTGACAATGAAGTCGAATGGGATGCTTGCAGCCGTTGCAGACACAACATCCCCCGCTTCTCTAATGGAGTTCAGTAGCCTATTGACCAGACTGGAAAGGTGAGTTCGTCTCCAAGTTGTGGGTACCAAGTACGGCTGCTGTGGAATCTGTAGACCACCAAGAGTTGTTGTGAGGACGATGGGAATTTGTCTACTCGAGGCAGCCGTTCGCCCGCTTGGTCCTGCGGCTGCGCTCGTCTCCGTGTACGTCGTAGACATCTCGAGATCTTTGATCCTGTCCTCTTTCCCTGGCAGCACAGGAGCGATTTGATTTGGAGAATGGCGGTGTAGGGAGGGTCGGGTAAACGTGCGAATTGGGCGAGTCTTGCCCGGCATGCTCTAGGAGCAAGAAGGGAGCGGGCGGGCTTGACGTTTAGAAAAAAGTATCAGCACGTGATGAACCATGTTTCTGCGCGCTCAATCGGCCGAGAGCCCCACAGCGAGGGATCGGCGTGGCAGGCCGGGTAGGCTTCGCATGGCCACGTGCGGCGAAAGTTTGCCAGCCGACTCGAGACTCGTGACCTGATGGTTGCCTCAACAGCATGCATGCAAAACAAAGCCTTTGCGCGCGGCGGTGGCGGGATTCTTGCAGCGCGCGTACGCGAAGCCTTCGCGCTTTCCCTGCATGCATGCTGCCTGCCATGCATGGCTATACTCAAGACTCGCGGCATGCTGATGCTACATGCCCCGCGGGCTTCGCGGTGACCTGCTGCTGCTGACGAGATGCGCAGGGTGGCGCGAAAGCGAGAGGAATTCGTGGTGGGTGCGGGGCAGCGAATCAGACGCGAGGGCTTACAGCACGGCTAGAAGGCCAGGGCCTGTCATCCAGCTCGACGCGCCCCAGCCGGCACTTTCCGCGCGCCCTTCTGCGCTTCTTGGTCTGAAGTGGTTATTAAGCAAGCAGCGGCGCGTCCTCCTCAACATGGGCGTCTGCTTTGACACCATCTCGCATTCGAACATACTCTCCAAGCACCATCACTCATAGCTTACACTGCGCCCAACTCCTTAGTGCTCAATCGCCGCACGAGCACAGCAGTCGCCAGCTTTACACATCTCCGCCAACATGTCCTTCCTCGCGGGCACATCTCTCCGAGGCTTGGGCAGCCGCTCAACGGTAGCCAGCACCAGCTCGGCGGTGCTTCGCTCCATCTCCACAACTGCTCCCCGTGCGCTCGCCACGCCTGCCCAGGAGCAAGCCAACGTTTCCGACCAAGGAGTTAAGGGAAAGCAGCCTCATTACAAGGATGTCTCCATCTACCGATGGGTGAGTGTCATACACGGCGCATTCACGCGGGGCAAGGCGGGGCGGGGCGGGGCGAGGCGAGGCAGGGGCGCTGGGCATGCAGCCATTGCCGCAACGCTCGGCTCTCTGCAAGCTACGAGTGCTTGTAGCGTAATTCAAGCGTCTGACAACTGACTGTTGATGCGTCTTCATGCACAGAATCCCGAGGAGCCTGCATCCAAACCACACTTGCAGACCTACAAGGTCGACTTGAACGCCTGCGGTCCCATGGTTCTGGACTTGCTGATCAAGATCAAGAACGAGGTGGACCCTTCTTTGACGTTCAGACGTTCATGCCGAGAGGGGATCTGCGGTAGCTGCGCCATGAACATTGATGGTGTCAACACGTTGGCTTGTCTCTGCCGCATCGAAAAGGCGGGAGAGAGCAAGATTTACCCTTTGCCACACAGTGAGTCGGCATTGGCGTCATGCTGTCTCTGAGAGGTGCGGCCTTCTCAATCGCGCTTCCCTTTTCGCAACAGTGTACGTCGTCAAGGATTTGGTACCGGACCTCACACAGTTCTACAAGCAATACCGCAGCATCGAGCCTTTCCTCAAGGCGCCCCTGCCTAGCAACGGCAAGGAGCATTTGCAGTCTCCCGAAGAGCGTCGACGCCTGGATGGACTTTACGAGTGCATCCTCTGCGCCTGCTGCTCGACATCCTGCCCCTCTTACTGGTGGAATCAGGACGAGTACTTGGGTCCCGCAGTGCTCATGCAATCCTTCAGATGGCTCAATGACTCGCGCGACCAGAACAAGCAACAAAGGTTGGAAAAGCTGGAGAACAGCTTTAGTCTTTACAGGTGCCACACCATTCTGAACTGCACAAAGACTTGCCCCAAAGGTCTCAACCCTGCCAGAGCCATTGCAGCCATCAAGGACGAGATGGCTTTCGGTCCTCCCAAGCACACCGCCCAGGCTCCCGTCGTCGCCGATGCTCAGGCTTGAGGTGATCACACCGCTCGCGCTTTGCATCTCCCATTCTCTTCAATCACGCGCACGCATTTCGCCCTCGTTTCGTGTACCTCGCTCACATTGGTGATTCACAATGCATAAACGTCACACAATCTGTATGCAGGGTTGGTCTTTTGAGCAGGCGTCGGCCTGCGCTACTGAGGAATGCGCCTTCGTTGCGCCTCAGTTGCTCACGCAAGAGCAAGTATGATGTACGACGGACCAAGCAAAGCTGAGCTCTGCCACGTAAGTCGTCGTGGCGATGTCCAGTGCAGAGTGTGCCCTCGCCTGCTCAGCGCGGGCGAAGGGTAGAGAGGCAAGGCGATAAGCAAGCCTATTTACAAAGGGCGTTCATCTTCCACACTTGAGGGCTCACGGCGACTAGAGACCTCCGTCGAGCGAATTGAGCAGAGATTTTTGATTTGAGCTCAATCATGCCTCCATGTGAACAGTAGCTGCTCGCTTTCCCCCTTCAGGGTTGCAAGGTCAGGGATGCCTTCGTGGGGGGACCAACCAGCTGGGGCTTGACGCTGATACCTCACGCCTAGCGACTGTGGACCTTTGGCGCCATTTGGGGCTTCGTAAGTCGTGCGCCTATAGTCGTTGAATTGGCGGAATCAAGAGTCGAAATTGGCGAGTTCTGATGAGTCAAAAGTCGAGAGTGATTCACACGTTGTGTAATTCAATTCAAGATTCATCGAAGATTCAGATTCGGACTCGTGACTTGGGGCAGTGCATGATGACATGCGTTTTGGCATGGCGCTCGGTACACGTGACGTGCACTAGAGGCTGTCTGTCGGCCGCGCACACGTGACTTGATTTGATGATCAGCACGAATCACGAATCACACTCTTGACTTCTGCTGCGAAACTCGTGACTGTACGCGGGCGCCCCGTGCACCGCGGAGCTTCGCATACTCGTGACTTCGCGACTCGGAGTTTACGACTTTGGTTGATGTATTCACGACTTGTCACCCTCACTTGACTGCCATCACAGCCATCCCGAAGCCAAGTCATCGTCCAAAGGCAAACATCGTTCGCCTTGCTGCTCGATCCGCAAAGCGCCTACAAGCGCTCGTTGCTCTTGGCAGAGTATGGGCGACTCGGGTTATCGAGGCATCTCCGCCTCTCACGCCGATGCGCGCTTTGCAGGCAAGGAGCAAAAAGCCATCTCTCTGCTTCAATCGCAAGGCAAATTTCCAGCTTCTTTTGCTCAAAAAGTGGATCTGAGAAAGGTCAATTTGGAAGTGATCAGACCTTGGGTCGAGGATAAGACGAAGGAGCTGTTGGGCTTCGATGATGATGTCGTCGCGGAATACGCCATGGGGATGCTGGAGAATACAGAGGAAAAGGTGAGTAAATGGAAGATTCGGCTGCTCGTTCTGCGCGCAGAAAGCGCATCTCCGTCGATCCCTGTGGCAAGGCTTCAAGGTGGAATACACATGCTAATCAGGCTCGCCATCATTCTCAAGCGCTTTCAGGATTGGATGGCAGCTGATTCATGACTTGTGCTCTCATTCGTCTCCTCTGCGATGGGACCTCCTGCAGATTCCAGACCCGAAGAAGCTTCAGCTTTCATTGACAGGCTTTCTCGAGTCCAAGACGCCCGACTTCATGGCCTCTCTTTGGGACCTCCTGCTGGATGCACAAGCTTCCATCGGAGGTATTCCGTCTGCTCTAGTACAGCAAAAAAAGGCGGAACTCGCTCAGGCGAGGGCTGCAGATGCTCAAGCTCTATCCAGAGCTGGATTGACAGGTGCTGCAGGACGTGGCAGAGGTGGAGGCAGGGGTTCGGCCAGGGATCATGATCGAAGAGTTGGTCCCGCCTCCTTCAAGGACAAGTCTGGAAACCTGACTGAGAAAGTGCAAGACAGCGGCTGGGTGAGTGGCTGGTTCAGCGTACCGCTTTGCTGGCATACATGTATGCGCTTTGTGTGCTCACATTTGAAGCTTCGACTCGACAATGACTTCCTGCAGGGTGCACGAGCCCGAGGTAGTGTTGAGTCAGCCCGACAGGGACCGCCAGAAGCGAGTGCGAGCGATCGAAGACCTCGTTCGAGGTGGGAGGGACTTGCGAGGGACGAAGGACGATCTTGGCGTGATGAGCCCAGAGGCTGGTCGGGCTACCATGATGACTCATCAAGTGGCCGACCTTACGCGAGGGAATACAGGTCTCGTGACAGGCCCGAAGGGTACGAGTCGAGAGGGAGAGAAAGATCTTTCAGCCCACCGCGACACAGGGATGGTCGCAGATCGTACGATCGACCGAAGTCCAGGTCTAGATCCATGTCCGTCACGCCTGAATACGATAGGCGAAGATCGCACTCGGGCAGACACGACCGGTCAAGCAGACGACGATCGAGGACGCGGTCAAGGTCTAGATCGCCACGACGTGCGCCAAGGAAAGATGACTCGGTCACTCCAAAAAGACGCCAGGCAGACTCGTCAGCCTCACCAATCTACAGAAGGAGGAGAAGCCCGACATATAGCGCTTCTCCGCCGCGAAGGTTATCGAGAAGGTCGGAGCGCGGCCCGGAAAGACGTAGAGAGACCAGCAGGAGCATGAGCAGGAGTCCGGTGAGGGAGAGGAGTGGGGACCGTAGACACGGCAATACGAGGCAGGAGAAAGAGGAGACCTTGTATGCTGGAGCAAAAGGCAAGAAGAGCCGATGGGACTGAGCCGCCCCCCGGCCAAAGTGGAGATCTCGCTTAGCTCCATCGTTCGCAGATGTTGTACCTATATGCGAGGCGATGGCAGCGAGCAGCAGTATGAATATCAGAGCGCAATTCGCCTTGATGTTGCGTCTTCCAAAAGCAAGGCTTTGGCGGCCTGGAACACTGCATGTCCCAAGCTTGTTGAGAGTAGAATGGCATGTCACGGCTTCTTTGGTATGAGAATGGTGCATGGCTGGCTTCATGAACGCTTGGCCGACTCTGCATGGCCCCGCGCTGCCCACGTCTTTCTCGCTTGATCATCTTTGAGGGGAGGGGGCCCTTTGCGTCAAGGATGAAAGCACGGGCCATGGGTCTGATCCACGCTGCTCATCGAAGAGCTGATCCTCAGTCTGAGTCGCATTCGATGCGAACATCTCGAGCAGACGTGAGCGAGCGCGGCGAATGTCCGTGCGCGGCGCGGCAAATCCCAGCTCGATTCGTGATTCGTGAGTGTTTTTCTTCCTTCTCTGCTGCTGGATGCGCGCGTTCCTGCGCGCATATGGCCGCGGATTCTTTGATTGAAATCTTGAATCGTGTTGTGCTGCATTGCTGCAGCAACTTTCTTGACTCACTCACGACTGTCTGTCTGTAGCTACCACATCAACTGCGGGCGTGAGGACTTGAGAGCGAAGACAGGCGCGAAAGCGAGAAAGTCCATCGTACTGCCAGACTCCTAACATTGCACCGTTCTCCCTCTCTACTAGCCAGAGGCAGGCTTGCTTGCTTGCTTGCGGTCGAAGAGTTCAGCAAGGCCCCATCCCATATCGCAGCAAGCCGCGAGAGATGTCGGACACCGAGGCAGGGCCGGGGCCAGGGCCATCGAACGTTGCCCAAAGCTCAAGGTGCAAAGCAAGAACAGAGCCTGAGAACAATGCGGACTTTCAGACGAGGGCGTATTGGGACAAGAGGTACGCTCTGGAGGGTAAGCGTTCATCTTGAAGCGGGTCATCGCTCATCAGCCGCCATCGAGCACTTTGAGCTGAGCGATCGATCGATCATTCATTCATTCCTTTGCGCGCGTCTTTGCCATGTAGGCGATGAAGACTTTGACTGGTGCGCGAAATGCCGACTGTGCCTGGCGCCGCTTGCTGATTTGATTGCTCACCGTGACCGAAACCTTTGTCGCATCATCTGATATAGGTTCAAAAAGTACGGTGAGCGATGGGCCATGCTGCCGCAATATACAAAAAGGGAAAGATTTGAGCGCTGAGTAGCGAGAGTCTGTCGGTCATCTCTCTCTCGCCCGTCGCAGATGAAGTCAAGTGAGTCAGTCCTGTTCCCTTGTCTGCACGCACCTCTCCGCGGTCAGCGCACCTACTGCACACGACATACTGACGCATAGTGCATCGCGCGCAGAGATGTCTTTAGAACTCTAATTCCTGATCAGCGCAGTCGAATTCTGATGCTCGGTACTGGAAACTCGACTTTGAGCAAAGATATGTATGCGGATGGATTCACAGATATTACCAGTGCGTGTATGCGACGTCGGACGTTGGCGCAGGCCGCTCCTGACTCGCCTTGCCTGCGAGCACACAGACATCGACTTCAGTCCCGTGCTGGTCGAGCGAATGAGAGCGCGACAGCCAGAGACGCAGTGGATGGTCATGGACGTGCGTGACATAGCTTCTCGAGCTTCCGAACTGGGCGGAATCGGCAGCTGGGACATCGTCATCGACAAAGGTGAGACGTAGTCTTTCTTGATGCCCTATCGACCTTCAGAAGCTCAAACAGCAGCGATCACGTATCAGCCACTTTGGATGCTTTGATGGCCATCGGACCTGGAGACAGCGTTTGGGATCCTGCGCCCGAAGTCAGGAGAAATGTAGCGCTGGAAGTGGATGGCGTAATGAGGTGCGTCTTGCGAAGCCTCGTGCGAACAAACGAAAACGGGAGGTGTTGAAGCCGGGAACGCTTACCGATTCCTTGCCAACGTGCCATCTCTTTTTTTAGCCTTCTCAAACCAGCCAGGGGCAAATTCATCTACCTCACTTTTGCGCAGCCTCACTTTAGAACGCCTTACCTCAGTCGGCCTGGGTGGAACCTGGAGGTCAAAACTCTTGAGAGCACTGCAGGAACGTTCCCTTACTATTTGTTCGTCATGTCCAAGCGGTGAAAGAGGGAAAGTCTGCAGCTTTTGCGCGGCAATATCACACCGAGACGGGAGGAAGCGCTTGGCCAATTTGCGAGCCGATCCTGCATGCCAGCTTCGATGGGAGTTATGCCAGCACAGCTCGAGATACGCATCTCTGCTCATCACTTTCTCATGGCTACTAAACATGCGACGGGTATTTGAATGGCTATCAGAGCAGTCTCACAAAGTCTTTCTTCCTGGCGCTATAAGCCGTGTACTTTGTTGATGAAGCGGTGCGTGCAAGTTGGCACTTTCTCCGGCACCACGGCCTTCTGCTTTCTCAGGAGAGTAGAGCTAGGGTGCTGCTCGCCGCAACGAGCGGTCGATGAATGGCCACGATGGCATATGGCTGAGATCAGGGATATTCAGCCAGACTTCCTGGGCGTACGGTGTGCCTGCAATGGTTTGACCGCTGACTATGCCGGAGACGTGTCCACCGTAGTACCAGCCCATTCTGTCAGGCTGAACAGATCTGACGTGAAAGCGCGTCGAATGTGGGAACCTTTGCCTCACAACTGCGCTGACCGCGCGGCTGAGGGCTTGCTGAGTCCTCGGTCTATGATCATCGGGCACGTGCACGTGCAAGATTTCCCAGATCGGATCGGCATATCCGACTTGCAGAGCTTCCACAGGTATTGGATCGGCTGGAGGCGGCTGAGAGGCTATGCTTGGAGCTCTGCCGGAAGGTCTTCCTCGCCGCCTACGAGGGCGTGAGAGGTTCTCCGCCGATGGCTGAGAGCCAGAAGGCCCAGCTGCCTCGTCTGCCCGACTAGAAGCTCTCGGAGAGAGCTGCACAAGGATGATATGATGAGGATCGATGCCGACCAAGTGACATTGATAGGATAACGCAGTCGGCTGGACGAAACTCACCCTTGGCATGCCGTCCTCACTCTGAGAAAGTCGACAAAGAATGTGCACAGTGCTGACAGACCACCAAAGCACGATCCAAGCTGATTTCAACATTGTCAAGAGGTGCTGAACCTCGGATGATGCCAAAGTCCAGAGCAATTGCGGCTTCTATCGGCAAGGACGGATTTGTGATCGCTGGCTAGCAGTGCCTGGATCAACGAGGCTCAATTAGAAAAGGCAGCTAGGCAACATCACTCTTATTACAATGTGCGCTTTCAAGAGCGGCGTGCAGATTTATGCCGGATTTGGAAGCATGAGTATGCGCTCCCAATCACGCCTCGTTGTCCTACTCGTGATGCCAGAGTGAGGGGGCAGACAGCTTCGTTGTCAGTGCTTTTTCCTCGATCTTATCGAGCGCAGACCATCGGCACCGACGATTTTGCCTCGACGTGACTCACTCGCGCTGGTTGTTTGAGACGCTGAGGTGGCAAATGGCAACGAGGATCTCACCTGCGCCCGTCATCGTCAAATCATCCTTGCTGATAGCTAACACGGACCCCACTGCGATCAAGTCAGCAAGAGACAATTGTGCTAGGCAGCGTATTTCGGCGTCGAGAGCGTCTATTGCGTGAGTCATGTTGCCTTCTTCGCTCCTAGGGTGTCATGTCTTTCCCGCAAACTCGCCAGCTTGGCCGAAGTGATGAATGTGTATGTCTTGTGCCGATATGACGCAGACCGCTGCTGAGCACCGCAACAGCCTCGATCGGCCAGTGCGCGCAGTCCGCGGACCTTACCGGCTCGGTACTACTGCACCGAAGACGGGACCCTCTCGAGTAGCTTAGATGCCTTTAGGTTCTCGTCACGAGTATCACGACGCGCTTTGCATACACTCCGGACTTCACAGGGACACTGCGATCGATGCGCGAAACCCGCACGCCAGCAGGGTAACAGACGCACTTGCTCGTCCACCTAGCAGGACGCTTTCAAAGGTCTTCGCTCAGGCGGCGCTTCGTCGCAACACAATTCCAACGCCCTCACCTTTTGGGATTCAATCTCAGGCATGCGTGCTTTGACCGCATTTCTTGCAGCAAAGTAGCGCGTACCCTAGCAGTCCAGACATCAGTGGCGACTCTTGGAATCGTCCAAGATACCTTGCTAGGGTGGCGAGAATGTCCCTCCATGGGGGAAAGATATAAAGATGTCTCTACTTGTCACGCCAGCGTTTTGATCACATCGCTCAACTCACCTAGCGACACTTGCAGGACACGAGGTGGCAAAGTTGATGAAACACCCGCGCAAGATTCACATTCACTCTTACCAGACATTCAGGCTCCGTATTTAGAAAAAAAATGAAGAGTTTTGTTTGCTTTCAAGCACTCGTGGTCGGTGCAGTGACGCTGTCTTGCGCTGTACAGAGCGCGCCTCTGAGCTCGCCAGCCGGCGCACAAGACGTGAGTGGATGGTTTACCTCCAAAGCCCCGCAAAGCTGGCGTATACTATTTACTACCTTTCTCTTCGGCACCAGATCACTCCTGATGAGGCCTTCGCGATGGCGGCTAGATCCCCTCCCGCGGCTCTTGTTCCGGGAGTGTCCTACTTGGCGGCTCGTGCACCACCGTGGACTCAGCTTGGTAACGTTGCCATCACACACAACGACGCGATACACGGCGTGATCGAGACCGTTCCGGAGCCACACCGCAAAGCTGTGATCGAGCATCTACACAACTACGTCGGTAACACTATAAATGAGTGGCATGGCGGCATCTATGGCTACAAAATAAACAAGATCGAGGATTGGGGCGAAGGCCTGGACATTGGTCGAGGATTCAAAGCGACGGGAGAATCTTACTCTGCGCACAAGAGCCTGTTGAGCCCTAGTCACGTCATACAAGTCTCTCATCCTGCGCCACCTCCCCATTGGCCCTTCGGGCCGGCGACACTTTGAGTATGCCGATAACACTCGAGCTCTGCAGTCGTAGCGAAATCGAGCTGAAGCAGCCTGCTGGGAAACTTACCACGAGAAGCATGCGATTTTGAATCTCTTGCCAGCTCATGCGTGCGAGGTCTGCTCCCGTGAGAGTCGAGATTTTCTTTGCGAGGTAATTGAGTTATGCAACTTAGCCGTTGCGATCAGCTCGTATCTGACTCAAACGACCGTTGCTATACCAATGAAGCAGCTTGTGTCTCGCGTGGCGATGCTCTTCCTCTGAATTAGGATTGCGCAAGACATTGTGTGTCATCTCGGCTTGAAGTCGCTGAGACATCCTGGAAACGTATCCGTGCACGAGCAACGTCTTCCAAGCAGTCGCTGTGATTTTGGGCTTTCAGGTCTGCATTTTGCCACTCGGTCCACTTCGGCCCAAGCGTTGCGCACTGCGCCTGCATGCAGCGACCAGCAGGCGTGATAAGCAACCGGATGTTCAGAGTTCAGTGAGTCATTAGCGCTTCACCGTTTCTACATCAGCATTCATCAGCATTCAGGAAATGCTGCCGATCACTGAGGCACTACTGAGTCGCTGACTTCAGCTGCATACGATCGTGCGGACGGTCTTGGTCTGGTTGTGTTGGGCTGAATTTCTCCAAACACGATCCATCTTGCGTCGTGAGGACCTTTCGTTGACGGATGTTTGCACGGCGAGACTCTGCCGCGAAAGACGCCCAGAGAAAGTTGGCGCTGTGCGCACAAACATCAACCAGCAACAAAGCCTGTGATCATGCCTTAGAGTACTGTCGCGCACGCGCTCATGCATGCATATGTACATCAGATCACAAGCACGCACTTGCAATAAAACACCATCATCCCTCTGTAGGATATCGGCGACAGTACGCCGGTAGTTTGCATACAATGTTTACAGAGCTCAGTATTCCTCGACGAGCCCCTCAGACCTAATAACACCAACGTGAAGCGCGGGCGATGGACTCAATTTGAGCGCATCCCCGTAGACACAAAATTTGCAATATGGGCGACTTCCCGACAGTACCCGGCACTACTAGCAAGGATGTCCAGAAAGGACCTTGACCTTCCCCGAGAGCAGCGCAGCTTCGAAGTACAAATAGCACGCACTCATTCGATGGGCAAGTTGAGCTTGAGGTACACTGTACTCTTCAACAACTTCGTGCAGAGTCACAGACCTCACTTCTGCGATTTGACATGATGCAGCAACGCTACCTGCCCTTCAGCGCGTCGCGCTGGATCGGAGTGGCTCTCATCATTGCGACTTTCTCGCGCGTAATCCGCACTCGACCAATGTATAGCTCACAGCTCAGCTTTGTAAGTGCACGAGCCACTCACACGGGGCTACCATCATTGCAAGTCAGCTTCAGAAGTCGCTCATTCTTGAGTTGAACCTGTCAACCCTTTACAGCTGGCCGTGCGTCAGTCAGGAGAGTCCAAGGGTCAAGACAGCGCCATTACCTCCGGGAATGCCCCGCGTTTGAAGCAGAAGGCTATCGCTTCGGTGAAGCCCCGCATCAGCTTCGACAATGACTTCAAAGTCAATTTTTCCCAAGCACGCGAAGCTACGAGGCGAATTGCCCTCGAGACCATCGAGCGCGAGATGGCGGCCAAACTTGCTCATCGTCCTCAGGTAGGCCACTTTCATGTGACTGGCATGAGAGCCCACAAAGTCGGCAACTCGATAGACGGCTTCAAATTCTCTGGCACAGCTCACGACATTGGAGGAAATCCTCTCGCCGCACCAACCGAGCTACATCTTCGCCCGGACATGCTCGTTGCTGCAAACTGGATACACGCCGCATCGGGCGCTTTGCACAAATGAATGCGATCGAAGGTATAATCTGAGAAGCTAAAATCACCTCAAAACTGAGGTCCTTTACCTTACTGCTCAAGCAATCATGCTCATAGTCTCCAGTGCGATTGTGCTTGTGCTTGTGTCTGAATCAGCAGGTTCGTTGATGATGTCTGCGAACACAGCAAGATCGCGAATGCTAAACAATCGCGTAGTTCAATCGATTGAGCGCACGGCCCCCTTCTATGCTTGAGGCAACTGAACGGTCTAGAGAGTGCACAGGCCGCTACCTAATGCATGTATGTCAGTCGTTCCAGTTTCTCCAGTCGACCTCTCACTCGATGCGAATTCGATCTCTTCTCATAACACAATAATCTCTGGTGGCCTGACTATTTGAACACCAACTTTGAAACACCAGCTGTCTTTTGCACTGCGGGCGACGCTTGGATGCACTCGCGGTTGATCATCGACGTTGCTGGGCATATACAGGTGCCACTACTGACGTGACAGCTGTAATCAACACCAGCAAGTAAGGTTGGGCCATCGGCCCGACTAGGAGGTCAGCCAGTGCAGAAGTGGTGATTCGACGATTTTGATGACAGGAAAAAGATTGCTGTGTTGTCTAGGCGTCGTCCAATTTTGCTAAAAAAAAGACACCGCTTGATGTCATCGCGAGCAAGTCGTCGTGCTTGTATGACAACACGCAACATCACCAAATTTCGAAAGGGAGACTGCATGCGTTCCTGCGTCGCTCGTCTCTCATGTCTCGAGGTGCACTGACGCAAACGCTCCTCAGCACATTATGCGAGACCGTCAGATGCCCATCAGTATCTCTCGTATAAGAAGAGTCAGAGCACTTGTGAAACATTTCCAACGCGCCAGCGCATCCGTGTCCAGCACAATTCTTCATACAATTGCAGTACTCAGAACTTACTAACAGTATTTGCCCTGCTACGACTGCAAACTCCGTCTTACTTGAACGATGAAGGCGCCCCGCGGATCGTGTCTGAATTGGCTTAGCGCGGCGGCGCTGGCGGTGACCTTCATGCCCGTCGATGGGACGAGATCAGTGAGTCATGCACATCCCCGATACCCTCATGATCTTGCGCTCTTGACTGATGCAGCCAAGACGTGATCCTTTCACTTCAGCACCTGGCGTCTCGAGCGGACGCGCCAGAATTGCTTGCGGAAGTAGCTAGGCCCGCCCAAGTGACCATCAGCAAGAACATACTTTTCCTTCTGAACAGCATTCCGCCACGTTATCGAGTGCACGTCGCGAATATCCTTCGGGACAACGTGGAGCACAGCATCGAAACTCGGTACCCTAATGTAGCGAGCTTCCATATCAAAGGAGTGACGCCAGTGGCCTCGCATTACAGTGCAAACAATGAGCATCACGTTGCTGGAGAAGCACAAACGAGCACCGGCCGCCACCTTCATGGGGAGGACTCCGACTACATCGTGCGCATTAACCCAGCCGAGCTGCCGCCAGGTTGGCCCTTCAGACTGAGACGATTGGACAGGCGTTCAGCTCCTAATGTGAAGTTTCAGATGCAAAGCGCTCTACTAATTCCCCGCAACCCCGTAGGTCCGCTGGGCATAACAGGAAGAACGCCTCGTCGTCGTCCCACCGAGGTGGAGCAGCAAGTCCTGGACGAGGCAGCCCGAGCGAATCGCCTGCGTCCGGCTTCGAGAGCAGCGATCGAGTACGACGACGGGATGTCGAGCTACCTTAGGACCTTCAACGCCCAAGAGCGTGCCTCGATACATCAAGCGCTCGGTGAGGCTATCGATATAAGACTCCATCATGACACGCACGTCTCTCGCTACATAGTCTCTGCTGTCACTCCACATCGGTCCGGAACCGGGTACTGGGTTCAGGGAAGTGGATTCGATCCTAGCGGTGCTGCGCTCCACGACTTGAACCTGATTCATGTGCGCCCTGATCTCAGGCATGTACCGCACTGGCCTTTCTGAACCGAATTCAGCGTAGTGAAGTCTGTCTAGCAGCAACCCTGAAGTGAATCGACAGACCAAGAGCAGTATCATTGCGCTCACGCGGCGGATGGGACGGCATCATAGTGGATACCTATCTGCGAGCAGGGGATGCCGAGGTGACGCCAAGAGGCAAAACGCCGGATGGATTGCATAGATGTGTTTCGCATCAGTCGCGCGCGTGGCGCACACGTCAGTTCGTGCATGTGCAAGCTACACTGTACCTGTGACTCCTCAATCTGAATCACCATGACCATTATCCTCATATAAGCCATCTGCGACACTTCGTAACGACATGAGCCTCAGCCTCTCTGCGCAGGCATCTTTACATCAGATCCTAGTGCTCAGATGCACCCGAGCAGAAAAGGCGGACGACGGTCGACTTGCCGCACGGTGTGGGTCATACAGCGCGCAGATATACCCGCCAGTCCGCAATCACTGATAAAGTTACGTCGATGTAGCCGTGAAGCGCTGTGAACGGATGTGATTGTGTGCTACACTACTTAGCTCGAGGTCGCCCTTCGCTACATCAACCGAGGCAGGTGCAGCATTTCCACAGAGATCCTGTTGTTTCTGTTGTTGAAGATGGTGCCGTTGTGCACAGTCATGTGGACTGTACGATAGCCGTCCGACTGACGATCCCCAACGTGATGGATATCAAGGGCTCTGATGTGCGGGTCCGCCCGAGCCCAGTCCGCTGCGATGTCCAAGAATGTTTGGCGCTCGTGGTGAGAGCCAAGAGTATCGTGGGCCGAATTGCTCAGTCTGACTGGAGGCCAGGTGCCCAAGAGAACGGGAGCTTCAGAAGCCCTGCCTCGAGGACTTGGTGAACGGACTCGACGATGATCATCGATCACTGTGCCGGATGCGCTTTCAGAAGCGTCCGAGTGTGCCGGGCGGTGAACATCGACGGTGTTCGCATTTCTCCCGCTCCGGGAAGAGCCGGAGTCGTGGTCATCCGACAATGTGCTAACGGCACCTTCAGAAGTGTCCGACTGCACCGGGCGTTGAAAGCGGGCATATATGCGCGAAACGCGGAGCCAAGGAGCACCCACGTTCTCTTGCGGTGCCGGCGACTGCTTTGCGAGTACGACCGACGTAACATCCTTGCCTCTCGCGCTCTAGAAAGTTGGTAGGAAAGCAGAAATAAATAAATTTCCGCGGACAACTCCATCGCCCGCATGCGCAACATACCGTGCAGCTGATGTGCGTCGCGTAGACCAGTGCGCTCATGCACAGTATCCTGAGCTGGAAATTGGACATCTTGAACTTCCAAGGCGACGCTTCGTTGAAGATAAAGTCTGCGAAGAGCACCTGGCGTCAGAAGATACCTGATGAAAGGAGCTCGGAGTATGTTAGAGGATCGCCTCGATGGCTCGTTCCAAAAAGTCTTTACGGCGAGCACCACGGTATATCAATCAAGTGCACATTGTCGTTTGCTTCCTTCACCAGCAAGCATTCTCGCAGTAGCGCTGACCGGTAGTTGGTGATGGTGGCAAATGCGGACTGCTACTTCTGAGAGCTGTGGACCTCTTAGAGAGTGGACACTCTGATCAATCGTTTCTGCGACGTCAGGAGCGGCAACAGCACTAGTGGCGAGATCAACTTTCTCTAAATCGCGAATCGGAGGCGTCAGGGGCGGTGGCAATAGGTCAAAGTTGCTCGGCGCGGCCCGTTTCAGACCGGAGCCTCGACAACACTACCACGTAGCGCTCCTGTTCGCCACCGCCCTGATTCTGCAACATCAGGTGTGAATGACTGCTCTGAATCGCGGCGTCGAGCTCGCCACACCTGCGCTTGCTCCTTGCGCTGTGGACCTACTCGATCGTATATTTGCTCGAGCCGCTGAAGAGCATCAATTGGACGTTCTCACTGCTTCTGCAGTTTCACAAGCGCGAGACTTGAACTTGGCCATTGCACACACACCATTCCGACATGGTGGCGGGTGACGAGTGTGGACAATATTGCACCAGGCCTACCACCAGAATGTGAAGCGCCCAGGCGCGCTTGTCGTGTATGTTCAGCCTCGCGAGGCCCTACAGAGATGATATCTGCGTGAATATAGGCGGGGTCATTGCGAAGCTAGGCGATGATGCGACGCTCTAGGTTGGCTTTGTCGTGCTCGGGTACCAAAGTGAGTGCGGAAGGGAGCCAAGCCTCCGAAGGAGATACATCACTTGCAGCTCGTCGAGGTGTGCCCTCTTGCGACCCGGCTAGCGTCGGTCGGCTCAAAGCTCTGACGCCCAGCCTTCGCTACGTGCGGATTGGGGGATGGTGAAACATTTGAGTGTCTGTCATGATAGCACGCCATCTGTAATCGAGCCCTGTGAGGCTGACGCGCCGATGATTATGAGCGTTCCTAGGGCCCACCGACTCGACGACGACTCGGTGGATCATTGGATCTTGGTTGACATGATTCAAAATCTTCTCCTTAAGTGCATTCCACTCAGGATGGTGATACGGCACTACATTCGTTGCTTCTTGGCTCCAGTGCACGTAAGCTGGCGTACCTGGCGGTCTGAGGGGGATCGTCTCCCCAAGGACCGGGTTTCGAATGACGGCTCGCGAGAGAAGTCGCGTGCTTCTTTGATCTGCGCTGCCAGGCGGAGGTGGATGAAAAACGCGAATCGTCGTGTCCAGCGCAGCATGGCCGGAGCCATCAGCAGCGAGAAAGTGCACATCCCTAAAGTTCTCGGCGTCGCGCTCTCCGACGCTCTGAACAACAACACTGAAAACGTCTCGATCGATGTGAAAGCGTCTTTGCAGCTTAGCCTCCAGACTGGTACGTTCCGCACTACCGACAGGCACGGCCTCGCGCGTATTGCGTAGCCAACGAATTTGGACCGGCTCCTCCAAATTGCGCAACGGAATGAGGCCCCCGAGGTTGTGTAAGCCCCAATTTTGGCTGCGACGACGCAGCGCAAGGGGGTGATGTAGCTTCATGATCGTGTGGAAAAGGTGTTTGCCGTTGCGATTGGAGTTTGTCCATCGAACCCATCGATATGCGCGTGCGTCGCGCGGACCAACGGACGAAACGCGAACCCAGTACGTCTTGGCATTCTGGCGCGCATTCGATTTGATGATGCGTGTCAGACTGTCGTGGTCAGCACTTCCTGAGCGCACCTCGTCGATACTTTGATCGAGAATGACGAAAGGTGGCGAGTGCTCCTCGGAGCGCTTGATAAGCATCTGCAGAGCCTTGGGATTGGAGTCGGTCCCTCGCACCGATGGACCGGGCGTGATGGCGCGCTTCGAACTTGTCGTGGTTGCTTGGGACTTCCCCGTCATGTGCAAAGCGCCGTTGAACACCAAGCTTGGTGGTGCAGTGCTTGACGCGGAGCCATGCGTCACAAAGCTGGCCAACGATACCTATATAGACGCGTGGGTAATTGAGTGACCGGCTATGCTCTCTTTTCGAGCAGGCATCGAAGAAGACTCACGACCAGCGAGAATAAGATCGCCTGAGAGTAGAGCGCGAAAGTGCCTTGCCAAGGTTTGTCAGCTCTTGTGTACGCACACAGCATGCTTGCGATGCAGAATGGGCCTTGCTTGCGACTTGAGGTCACGGAAGTGTTCTGATTGGGCCGTCCCGACCACTGGGAAGAATCTCTGTCGGGCCACACTTGGAGAGGATCAGCACCTTCTTGTCTTTGCGGCCGCTCCACAACTTTTGAGACGAATGTGCGGCATTTAAAAGACAAGCGCCTCGATTTCTTGATCTGCACTTCCGGGTTGCCAAGGAATCCGACAGATTGCCACATTGTTAGACGGAGTGGAAACACTCCCAGCTTAGCGTCATCCATGCTCAGTGAGCGAACGAGAAATTTCAATTCGCTGACGGAGAGTGCGCAAAAGCCCACAATACATGTCCCGCCGAAGTCAACACGGCATGTAGCTTATGCGTCATGCCTGCTTCCACTCGAAAAAGAGTCAGTGTTGCTCGATCGCCAAGCAGGCTGAATGCATGATTCGGATGCCGTTACGCTTATACGTGTGTCTGTGGGGTCGACACAGCTTCATTTGCCACGTCAGCACGCTACCTAGTTTGGGCGCTGAGCCGGCATTGGGTGCTCTCAAGCCAGCTGAAGTGGCAATGAAGAGCAAGCCTGCTGTGCTAGGGCGCGTGTTGAGGAGCGTGTTGATGTGTCGGCGACAAGCACTCTCGAGGCGTTGGGGAAATTTCAACACGCAATCGTGCGTTCAGCCCGTGGGAACAACACACCACACCACGAGTGTTGTAGATAGGTGTAGGTGCGTCCATACATACAGTACGCCTCCCCCCAGCCCTAGAGCGAGGCTGCTTTGGTTGTTCCCATCCGCCGGTCAGAGTAGCTGCAGCTAGGATGACGCTTCATTTAGCTGCGCCCAACTCGGCGTCGCCGCCGTTGACGTGCGTCAAACAAACAAGCAGCAGCCACAGTGCGGGATTGCTGGTGATGAGGAGAGAGTCTAGCGATGAAAAGCTCCACGAATCTGCCTAAGATCGCGAGGCAAAAGTCGTGATGAGAGTTTGAGTGGTGAGGAGAGTCGCGGGTGTTCATCTATAGGCTATGCGCGTCCGACAGACGGAGCACGTGATTGCCTTTCACACGTGCAGCAACACGCGCGAGCAGCAACACGCGCGAGCAGCAACGCATTCAAAATTCAAAATTCGCGTTGCAATAAGCGATTCTTGATTTTGGTTGTGGATTTCAATTCAAAATTCCAAATTGAAGTCTTGAATCAAAATGAGCGATGCATGGGCTGCCTGTTGATTTTGGCACGAGACGCGTTCAAGACCAAAGAACATACATGTACCGTACGCGTGCCAGCACTCTTGACTCCTCTTCACGAACCGGCCCGCCCAACAATCAAAATGTCCTTCACCGACTGCACCCGCCTTGCCGCGCCCACATCAAGTCAGCGATCATTTATATGGCGGGCGATGAGCAAAGCGCTTTGTTCAAGTCGATGTAGCAAAGGAGGATTGCTTATTGCCAGGTCTCTTTGATCCTAGACTTGGATGCTGCAAGGCGCAGGCTGCGTTTCGTTGGGCTTGATTGCGATTTCCGCAAGATGGGATGAGCAGGATAGATGATCAGTGGCTTCCTTGCGCCTGGGCTTGAGCCAATGGTTCTCGAATCCGCACAGCAGGAGGAGGAGGATGATGCAGGTTGAAGGAGTGGGTGTTGAGAGGGGAACCGCTGTAATCGAAGCTTTCCAGTTGGACATGGCGGTGATTGTCGGCTCGACGAGGACCTACGCGGGAGACGTGAACGCTGTGGATAGCCTGGGTATGTGAAGCCCAATCTTGAAGACGGCTGTAGAGCGAGGACCATTCTTCTATGGGGCCAAGCGCCCTATCGGCGGCGTCGGAAAAGTGCACCTCCACCTTGGCAGGTGTACGTGCCGAGGCGATGCGAACGAGCGTGTTGCGCTTGTCCATCCGCGTGCGCCGCTGCAGAGATGCGACCAGGCTGGAGCCAGCTCTCGATGGTATGCTCTCTGCTTGGCGTCCACCCTTCGCATGGGAGCGATCACGGAGTGGGGTGAGCAACCCTACATGCATCGTCCGCCGCTTCGGGGGGAAGGGGCGGTCCATCGAATCAGCAGCGATGCGCAGGTGTGTAGCATCGGGACTTTTGCCATGCTCACCTCTGTCGGCAAGCGGATGCAGGCAGCCCAAGTCAACGTCAAAGCTGTCCATAGCAACATGACAGGCAAGGAGAGGCTGCTGCGCGCATTGCACACAGTGTGGAATCGGGGCATTAGGGTTGTGCTGAGGAAGAACGGCGCAATGATGAAGCGATTCTTGAACCTCGATGGTGGGCTAGGCGTGCTTCCAATCTGGAAGGAGCTGGGTCAATGTGGAGCATCATGGTCGCCTAGCGTGCTTGCTTTTGTGGCTTGACTGCTGGCCTGACACTTCAGGCGGCGCGAAACAAAGTGCACCGAATCAGCGTGATCGCTCCTCATCCAGCCACTCCATTCATGCTCACATTGCGATCACGCCACTTTACAGCGACTAGCGTAGAATGTCGAGTGAAGGTCTCAGCAGCCACAAAACCTCCGCAAACTCTTTACAGCCACGAGTGCGCCACAAGGCGAAGCCGCGCTGCGGGCACGCATTTTCGGATAGCACAAGCGGCGTCATGTCCGGTAGCGCCGTTTGCTCTATTTATGAGCAACGCCAAGACGCGAGCGACCAAGATCTGCTATGACGGCGAAGCACTCACGGCTGCAGCTGCTGGAGCTCGCCATCATCCCCTCTGCTTCACACCGAGTCCTTTGGCGACACGACGGCGTTTCATTCATCTCGCTGCCAGCCGCCGTCCGCTTCACCCACGCCAAACGGCCAAGAATGAGTCACTGTCTGACCTCGGATCAGAGTCTTTGCGTACCAACGCCGAGGCTGCCCAATGCCGCTCTCCGAACTACCGCCACTGATGACACGAACAGCATGTAAGCGGCCCTCAAGGCGATGCACCCAGCCGAAAGCAAGTCGCAGTCGCCTGCTAGTCCAAAGGGCGAATCAGCGCTTAGAGGTCTGTCGAGCGGCTCTTGATCTGAAGAGCATAGACTTCTCGGCGGCACTCAGGCCCCTGTTGCGTTTCCGGAGCGCGGCCGATCACAGACACTCGATCTGCCTAGCTGCATCACTCCTGAAATTTCGACGCGCCGAGCGTTGGGATGAATTTAAATTCGGCAAACAGCAATGGCCACTGGCTAAAAGTGTGTCATCACATGAGGCACTTCGCTGATCTTTGGGTTGCTGATCTTGTTCATACCCTCGTCGTACAGCTGGTGATGCACCGAAACGTGATGAGGCAACACGCTAGGACCGATGCCCAGTACGTGCACATTTGCTGCTGCTTGGCTCGCTTCTGCCCACGCCGCGATCGACTTGCTCATATCTTCTTTAGCCTTTGGAGGCATGCCACGGAAATGGGTGTCGGTGAACGCACTCCACATCACCATGCTTTGGCGACCACGCTGCTCGACCGGGAGGGATGTCGTGGCAGGCTCTCGTTCCTGATGCTCTGATCGTGCTGATGCGTCATCTCTTGATGTCGGAACTGCGGACGAGCTGCTAGCGTGTGCTGGAGCATTGCGTCGTCGCTGCGATCTGACGCGACGAGGAACAGCGCCCTCTGATGCACCTGTCAAGAGCGAAGAGCGTGGAGGGGTGAGTAATTATGCAGCCGGTGTCATTGTCGTTTTTCAAAAATCACTTACTAAGTGGTATACCTTGTCCGGACGTGGCTCCTGGCCTTTCAGTGAGGATAGCTGTAATCAGACGGCTCTTTTGGCTGCTTCGATCTCCTCGTCTTTTCGGCTCTTCGTTTGTCTCTCCACGCTCTTGCCCGCTGCGAGCACTTAACGATTCTGCTCTCGTCACAGCACTCGCAGCTGGGGGATGGATGCGAGTGCTAGTGAGAAGCTTGGAAGGAATGAGGGCTTCAGTGCTCCAAGCTATTCGGACGCAAACGGCTGCTGGAACGCTCGCAGTGTAAGCTCACCTGTCTCGTAGGCACGCTTCCAGTGGCCAGTATGAAGGTGCTGAATAGCGCCCAGAGGGCTGTAGACCGAACGGCGTTCATTCGGCACATCGCAAGGTAGTAGACGGCGCACTGCTTGCGAAAGCCGGGTCTGTGGCGAATTAGCATTTAGTTGCATTTGGCGGAGACCAGGTTCGGAACATGCCGCCTTTTATGGACTCTGCGCGGATCACGACCTCGCCTAAGTACTGTTTGCGTGAGCATCTCGCAAGCGGCATGAGATCGCCTCTCGCACTCTGCCAGTGACATCAACTCTCTCACGATGCGTGTGTAGAATAATCATGTTGATATGTCGACACACTGGAGCGCCTCTTGCCAGCACCCGTCGCTCTCAGAAAAGTGCCAAGACACCAATTGTTTGAGATGAATTGTAGCAAGACTTGCGCGAGATCCGTCATCAGCGCAACACAACCCGACGCCGTCGCTGCGTGTCATGGCGCCGAACAACGATACGGACGGAAAACAACCATCATCATTGCTATGATTCCCACAAACATTGCGCACTGGTTCTAGCAGATACAGAAAGACCCTTGTCGCGGCGTCACTCAAGATGACCCAACACTGCCTGCTCTCGCCTGCTGGACCGGGGCAGCTTCACAGTCTGTTGATTGAGCTGGCGCTTTCCGACCACTTGGAATGTGCCCCTATGTGCCGAAAGGCCACACAACAAAGCGCTGTGGAGACGCGTGCGCTTCTCCGTTCGTGTTGTAAGCCATGCCATGCAGCACCACGCTACCGTCTCGCCTGCGGATCATCCTGTGCACATCGATGCGAGCGATGTTGGGATCTTGGTTACTCTGCGTCCTCCACCAGTCGTGCAGTGCACTGCGGAAAGTGTCAAGATCGGCCCTGTATTGGTTGTAAATCTGGTCGGCAGCTTGATCGTTGAAGTTGACGACTGGTGCAGGAGGCGGCGGAAGCTATTGGATGGGACAAAAAGCTGGAGGGATGTTCAGCGATCTGCAGGCAGCTCATCGCCTCAAGCTGAATCCCTTGGCACGCACCTGGAAAGTTCTACCGCCCTGCAGTGTGGCAAGCACAGCAGCCAACACCCAAAGCATCGCCATGAAGCGAGTAGCGATGCTCGCGCTCTGGTGTCTTGCGGATGGCATTCGGCAAGATGCGCTCATTCTCTGGTTCTGAATCGATCAAGCGAATACTATAAATTAACGAACGTTTCTTCCGTCGCAATTTCGCCTTGACCGCGTTATATATGGCAAGGAAGAGCGCTTCTCCAACTGTCTGACTGCGCGAGACGAGGCAAAATCTTAGCGACATGCTAAAGGCAGCCTGGAGAAGAGCAAGTCAGAATCTTGCGTCGCAGTAAGCCACAACAAGGACAGCCAGTACAGCCGAAATGCGTAACATTGCGGCATGTTTGCGGCGCTGCTGCGCACGTTGTAGGTGCTGCACCGGTCTCGCGCTGTACATCGTCGGCGTCACAATAAAGCCTTCGGCCGCAGTGCGTGTTCCACCAGTGTTTCGCCTGGCAAGATACCCTTGTCTCGTGGCGCCCGTCTGGAAGTTGCTGACGCAGACCCTCTTTTGCCTGTCTCGACGAATCGTCAAGCAGTCGATGCGTCTGCATCGCTACTTGTTCACTGTGATGGTACGAATGCAGCTCTCACAAGCTGGACGTGAGCGAGCAAAATCTCAGAATGCTCTGAGCATGATCAAAGTTTCGAGCTCTGGAACGACAGTCGCAGCCAGTCCCCGCGTTTACATGACACTCAAGCGTCTACTGCGCCGGCAAGCTGCTCTCATCGTCGAAATTCGGCAAGAAGGGGATGCCCCCGTTCGCACTCAATTGCATACTGACTGCAAGTTGCATCCTGATTGAAGAATAATAACGACCTGCACCCCCGACACAGACCTCAAATATCGCGAGGGACCGCTTTCTCTTCAAGCACGTCGCTACAAAAGTATGTCTGCGGCAGTCTAATGCTCTGGAGCGGGAGGAGCCGGGGGCGGAGCCGTTCTAGGATGAGAACTCACTAGCGGACTCGTTGACGGAGGCAAATGCGGAATGTTCAGTGAGTGATTCGCCAGTGAGCCTCCATAATGGTCGAATGTCTGAAGTCTAACATGACGGAGGTTGTTGATCGAACGCGCGCCGACCTCAGTCACCAATATGCTTCCGACCTCGGCATCGTTCCTGGCCCAATCTTGAATGCGGCGTGCAAGAGAGATCCACTCCATGGGCTGACGCATCGTCGCGGCAAGAATGCCAGGCATGAAATGAAGAGTCGGAGGAGTTCCACGGACTAATGGGACGTTCACCTCCCGGCGCAAGACTCTGGATATCCCGGTCGTCCCTGTGACGGCGGACTGACGGTGGAAGAACGACCTCTTGATGCGATGCACCTTTTGCTGTGGTACAGGTGTAACAAGAAATCCTGTGGAAGCTACTCGGGCGGCGGTATCAAGTCCAGCAACGCGTTCTGACATTGCACCAATACGAATAGAAGGCGGCTGTACCATCCGTCGAGCAGCGATACCTCAGTCCTCTCGCGCTTCGGGTATCGCAGAGCTGCAGTCACACTCACAATTGTAGACGCGCCAGCTGGAGCGATGGAAATGCCTAGTGGGGCACAGAACAGAATGAACACAAGTTTCCCAAGATGAGAACCAGCCATGCTGACAGTGTACGGCTCGGAGAGAGGCGAAGACTCTTGTGCTGATCTTGTTGCAGAGATGCCGTAGCAGTGATCTCTTCCGTGGCCATTCGCGATGAAAGTGAGTGTAAATTGCCGGTTTAAGTACCTTTTGTGTCTATCATCACATTCTTGGGCAAGGTTGAGTGTATGCACATAAGATCAGCCTGGCTCAGGACATCCACACAGTCACGCTGTAAATCCACATCATCGATTCCAGCCGCCTTCATCGTTGTTGGGGCGTAGCATGTTGGCGTACCAGCGCAGGAATGGTGTTTGAAAACGACTGCATTCTGATTGGAGTGAACACGGGCATTGAACATCAACATCTGAAACCTAGGTCGCACACCTTTTCCTCGTACCCCTTTGTACTGATACAGAGCTCTTGAGATACATGGGTCTTCAAAGCACTGCTGCGCTTACCGGATATTTGTCTCGTGCGAGAGGTTCAGTGTGAGTCATGTCTACCGCATTTCTCGCATACTACTCATGTCTGTATTCACACGTCATTTGTCAACGCAAGTATGTCTGTTGAGCATCAACAAATGCATGACCAGAGCACAGCCGTTCAGATCAGAGCGTATTATTTCGTACGCCACTGCCGCCGGTGACATGGTTTTGGATGATGCTTTACTGCAACAGAGTCTCTGTGTCCTGCTTGCCCTGCCAATACCGCTGTCGTCACAAAATTTCAGAACCTCGTACTGTGACTTGAGATTTCCCTTGTGACTACCGACCGTCTGAAGTCCTTCCAGCTCTCTGTTGTGCCGCACAGCAGCGGTAAGACGACAGCTTCACGGATAGCAAGTTTTCTCGTACGATCAACAAGCAAGAAATGCGCATGAAAGCTCCTTGTGCTTGTGACTTGGTGCCACTTAGCGAACACTCGAAGCCCTACCCGGGCGGCATCTGCAACAGTGCGTGTTCATGGAGGTATTCACGCAAAGCTGGCTGCGATCCAGCAAATGAGACGAGAGTGATCAGATCGATCGGCGCTGTCTCGCGAAACAGGCTTTGCTGCGCGTGACCCTGGCTTGCGTAGTGTCCGCACGCGCATAACCTCACGCATCTACTGTTCTGCAACTCCCAATGCAACTACCGTCATCCTTGAACATGTGCGCGACAACAGTCACCGAAGGCGTACAATACAACATCAGCGAGCGAAGCACAAGACTGTGTCAACATGCCACTTCCTAGCCGCAGCGACCACGGAAACTCGCAAGGTCGATGTACTTAAATGGAGCTTTCGTGTTTGAAAAGCACTTCAGTCAATACACAGACTGCTTGGTTTGGTAACGTAAGATTCGATTCTCGGACATTGGCTCGCACCCGACTCTCTGGAGCGTCGATGGTCTGAGAGCCCAATCGAGTTTCCATCACTGATTCCGCACAGCAGCAACTTCTCAGAACGCCCACGCTGCATCAATCGCAGTTGCAGTCGCAGCATGCGGGTTTAGGCCCCGCAAGAGCGCAGCGAATCATTTCTTTGGGATTGCAAGGCGGATCGTCGCAACAGGCTGGAAGTCTCCTCTGAAGATTTGGAGTCTGAAAGATGCAAGGTGGTTAAAGAAGAGTCAGATTGCCACAAATTACAAATCAGGGCTGTCAGATGAGCAACGGGAGGCGACAGGCACACGCACCTCAGCAGGCGAGGTAGAGACATCTGGCGAGGCCACGGCACGCAGCACAACCGTCAGAGCGCAAAGAACAAGGCTACGAACGACAAGCTTCATGATGGCTATGAAGCAGGAGCCATAAGTGAGTCAGCTGAGCTGTTCAGCCTGTGTCGCTCGATCTATCACTCACATGCGCTTCAAGAGTGCGTGATGGCTCAGATACTTGCAAGAAGCTTCAACTGTGCCTTGTGCGGCGATTCGGTCTTGCTGATGTGCTGAGTCTCGAGAGGTAAGTGTGGACCGGTCAGGATTTGAAGAGCATACAATACTTATAGCTTCGAAGTGCCAGCTTTATCGCCGTCACTGTGCCGGGTTGAGATAAGGCTTCCCGGACTCCCTCGCTCATTGGCGGATGGCGTAGTCTTAGTGTGCGCGCTTTTACTTCGCTCCTGGCACAAATTGGACTGCAGTCGAAGAGGTGATTTGCAATCTAGCCCAGACCGCGGGCACCGCTTCCCGAGCAGAATGGCGTCTACTGGAAGGAAATGAGACAAGTGATCTGCCTCATAATTCTCAAAGCGCAGAGACAAGGAGCTTCGGCGCGCCTGCTCGGGGAGCGCACACGGAAGATGCCCGCGAGTCGTGAGTGAGTATTCGTCGCGATCAAATCTCCTCGCCTGCATGGCTCATCCGCCGGCCTCTTACACAGCACCGATTCTTGCCAACCACGATCAGGAAAGTCCAATTCGATGCATGCATGCCCACGCTCACCGCTCAAGTCCGGCGCGCTTTTGTTGCGGACCCTCGCCTCGTCACTCAACCCAGCTGGGCACCGAATGATCATCGACCCCGCTTCTTTCAATCAGACCGGCAACTTTATTTGAGCATACTGACTAGGCACTTTTGCGATATGGTGGTGGCCAGTGGGATGGAAGGTACCTGCCGGCCACGTTGATGCCGATCATTACGAATGGCAGGCAGTGACGCCTTGGTCAACGCCGCATTGCCACACCATCCTCACTTGAGGTGGCGTCAATGCGTTTCTTGCTGGACTCTTGCGGCTTAGATACGTGGGTGCAATCGCAAATGGTGTGGGCGAGGAGAGTCCCCACAATGGCCGGAGCTGCATGCGGCTCGAGGCGGACCGCTTCTTGCAGCTTTCACCACATTGCTCTCCAGGTGGCTAGCTCATCCAAGCAACATCAATTGCAAGGCGCACAGAAGGTCAGCACACACGAGCAGATCTCTCTTCGTTCTGAGCAGGCTACTCCGCAAAGCGGTCTCATCCATTGTGTTCTCGACGATGTGCGGCTTGATTCTGTTTCAAGTAGCCTGCTGGGCGGTGAAGGTCCTGACCTTTGCGAACCTCGTCAAGTTTGCCGGAGCGATACCTATGCACGGTCAACAACCCCTTTCGGAGCATGACTCGGCCAGCCCAGCCGTACAAGGCTCTTTTGCGATGTCTCGACCAAGTAGAACGAGACAGATCGACTCAGCTCCCGCTAGACCAAAGCGCGGCCGTCCACGTCTGAATCCAGGAATTCCTAGGGTGCCAACGATTTCGACGCCGAGAGTGCGCTTGTTCAAGCATCATCCCATCATCTCTGGTCCGGTCATTATCTCGGCGCACGATGCTGCATCGAGCGGGAAAACAGAAGCGACATCTCTCATTCGGCAATCTCGTCCGCCACATCCAAAGTCGGGATCCTCAAATCCCGTAGGCAGGCCTTTCAAGCCCATGCACGGCTTTCCTCTTTCCGAATCGGAGCTGCTCGACGCGCAAGTGATCGACGAGAAGACGCACGTGAAGCAACACCCTCCCAACACTGCATGGCCTGCCACGGTCGGCTATAGCAAAAGT